TCTTCGAACTTGACCTCGGTATCTATCTGTAGAATAAGTATGTTGAGTTTGATAAAGATCCATTGTAAATTGACGATGCTATCGTGGTGACAAGCCGCGGTCGTTTCCAATCGCAGTAATTTTTGGATTTTTTACATTTATTATGAAATCTACTTCCATTTCGACTGCCGAATGGTCTTTTTTAATTATGTATCTAGAGATAGAGCATTTTCGAATGCAGCCTAAATACTTATCATCATAAATTGACTATTAGTGAGAATGATATGAAACCTTGAAAAGGCATAAATTCAAGTCAAGACTTTTCCAACGATACCAAATTTAACCATAAAAATCCATTTTATCATATAAATACACTGGCCACAAAATTTTCCTTATTCTCTTAATAATATAGATTAATTACTTATTAATTAATAAAAAAAAAAAATTGTTAATTTAGTTCTATAATTATGAAAAGTACCGTTTATTGAATCAATTTCTTGAACTTTTCTGTACAATTTCTCCAAAGTAGCGAACTCTTTAATAGCCTTGGTAAACAATCGCAAACTCATGATCATAGAATCATCATAAATCTTGTTGTTCAACAAACTAGTAATAACTGAACATTCAAAATTGTGATGTTCTTTGAAAGCGATATCACGACATTCTTTGCTGCAGTAAATAACATTTGAACATTTATCGCACGGAACGCCAGACCAACAAATTTTTGAACAATTCCAGCAGCATTTAAGCCTATATTCTGATACAAGAACCATTGAGTAAGATTTTTTAACCATCAGAGGTTCACCAGCTTCAATATTTCTAGAGGCCACCAAATGTCTGCCAAATTTATCAGAATTATTGATAGCAATAGCGCCAGAAGTCTTCAACAATTGTGGATTATCATCAGGAGCCGTTGGTAAAAAATCACGACCATCATAGTGTGTCACAGGTTTTTTGAATTTTTTATTCTTTAATTTATCTAGATCACTCAAGAACTTATCTGTTTTTTTTTCATCGATTTTTAATGCCCACTTCTTTGCTTCAGCTAGAGTTTCTTCAACATTGTCATTTATATTTAAAGCTAATAAATTTTTCGCTTTTCTAGCGTACAATGATGCTTTTAAATGATCAGGGTAATTACTCTCTAATGCGTGTTGAATATCTTTTAGAGATTCGTCATATCTTGCAGCTTTCGTTAAAACAATTGAGCGGTTAGCATATGCGTGTGCTAGTAATTCAGAACCAAGGGTTGCTTGAGCCATAGATTTATTGTAAACCTTTATTACATTTTGTAAAGGCTCATTTTGACTGACCAATGTCTTTGCGAGATTTAAAGATTCTTTAGCTAATTCATCATTCTTTGAGTCATAATTAACGAGTACCGTTGGATCCTGGAGTATCAAAGTTTGACATAATTTCATAGCTGATTTAATAAAATCTTCATCAGTCTTTGCATCATTGAAATCGTCGATTTTCAACAATTGCATTTCTTCAGACAATAAAAGCTCCATAATTATCCTTAATAATTGAAAAAAAAAAAAAAAAAAAAATGAGTTACAAAATTCTAATTAAAATAATTTAAATTATATTATTACCTTGTGAAATATGTCAATTGTTTCTAAATTTTAATGGATCAGTCGATTGAAGATACGCAAGTAATCAACAAATTTTACTCAGAAATTGAGTATTTTTAATTTTGAATGCTTAAATTAATTTTTGATGGCCCAGGTAAGGGTAGCAAACATACGTACGGGTGTAATTCTAATAATGAATTCCGTTATGTACCGTTTATATGCGTGATCATGTGTCATGTAAACAATAAAGCCATTCTGTTTAGTAAAAAATAAACTATAACGCTCTTTTATTTAAATCAGCGCCACTCCGGCTAAGAAAGGTACTACATTTTGCTTCTGGTATTATTTTTCTATGCAACACAAAAGAATTTTTTTAATTGTTTTACTTGAAACAATTTTTTATAAAATCGTTTTAGAAGTAAATAATTTATGAAAATGAAGTTAGCTGATATTTCAAAATTTTTAGAAACTTTTTATCGAAAAAATTTCAATTAAATAATTAAAAAAAAAAAATATCACGTGTTAAAAACTTGAAAAACTATAAGTGCAATTTTTTAGAAATATCTTTTTAGTTGTAATTTACTTGAAAAAGAAAAATCAAAAATTTTTAGACGTCTGCCAACTTCAGTGTCACAATAATTTTTTTAACTTAAATTCACTCATCTTGATAAGTTTTACATAAAAAATGACACTATTTACATAAAATATAATGGTATTGATGTAAGTGCACTAATCCACGCGTGGACATCTGACAATTTTTTAAATTTTTATAACAAATTAATTAATAATAACAAAGTTAGCCGACACTTTTGATTTTTTTATTTTGCTTAATTTATTAAATTATAACTAAAAAAATATTTTTAAAAAATTGCACTTATAGTTTTTGAAGTTCTTAACAAGTGAAGTTTTTTTTTTACTTTTTTGTAATCATTTTTTCAATAAAAAAAAAATTCTAAAAATTTTTAAATGTCAGCTAACTTAATTTTCATAATTAATTATGATAAAAAAATGTTTTTGAAAATTCACACTTACGATTTTTTTAAATTTCTAGATGTACAATTTATTTGCTTAAATTTTTTCATAATATTTTAATTATTATAAAAATCTAAAACATTGTAAGGTGTCTGTTGATTTCAGTATGATATTTTTTAACAAATAAATTAATAAATACTAAAGTTAGCTGACGTTTTTAATTTTTTTTCAATAATTCAATTGGAACAAAAAAATATTTTTAAAAAATTCCACTTACTGTTTTTCAAGTTTTTTACGAATGAAATTTTTTTTTTTTATTTTTTTGTAATAATATTTTCATATATAATATTGAGAAAAATCATAAATAAAATTAAGAAAAAAAAGTCACATGCAGAAATTTATAAAAACGATGAATGCAATGTTTGAAAATGTTTTTATTAATTTATTTTTGACACAAAATCAAAAAAAAAAAATCTCAAGTGTCTACTGATTTCAGCATGTTATATAAAATGTAAATGATACTGAATTTAAAAAACATCTAACAATATTTTAGATTTTCAAAATAATTAAAGTACAGTAAAAAAATTCGACGTGCAGAAATTTGAAAAAAATTATAAGCGCGAATTTTTAAAAATGTTATTTTTATTACGGTTTATTTGTTATAAAAACTCAAAAAATTGTCAGATGTCCGCTGATTTCAGTATTATGAAGATATTCTGGTTTTTTTTGTAATAAAAAATTCCTTGTATTTAAAATAACTATTTTATAATCCATTTTACCTCTCTTCGGTTTTGTTGTAATAATAAAATTCAAAGATTGTATAAACCAGAATAAATTGAGAGTACCAGCTCAAACATTTTGTTTTAATAAGACTATTCGCTATGAAGGATAATTTTAGTGCTAACAATAGTAGTAGTTGTAATCGATTGTTATAAAGGCTATGGCGCAAGTATTTCTTGCATTTTTTTACTTTAAGCGATCATCGAAAACCAGTTACTTATAGGCCATAGAATAATAATAGGTAATTTTGATGAAAGGAAACGTAAAAGGGTTCTATATGAAACTGAATCTAATATTAATTTAATAAAATAATTTTATAGTGTACTCAACCATCGATCATAAGTATAAAATAGATTGAATTATTATCGGTGAGGTCTGATAGAACTTTTCTTAGTGAACATAATTTTGCATCAACTATATTGCAATAAAATTAAATATGTCAGAAACTAAAATGAGTCGGCTTGAAATAATAAATTCCGTGCCGTTTGATGAATTCTTTAATGCTGAAATTCGTATGTTACGTTACATGGGACTGTTACATTTTAAATGTATATATTTTCAAGTTAAGAAGAATCTGAACATTGGTGGGAAAAAATCACTCCACTTTTTGGGATAATAACACTGTCTCTGATGCTGTATTTTTTGACAGTTGCTCTCATACAAATTATAGCTTACGATATTACTCTTGCCCCTGAAATGTTTACGGCATTACTTTCAGCTTCACTTTGTTGTTTTAAGGTAATCATACTTTTAAAAGATTCATTTTATTTTTATACTTAATATATTTATTTACTCATATTGAATTTTGATATTCAATGTTACAGGCTCTAAGATGCTGGACACATAGAAAAGAACTTTTTGATTTTATTAGAAAGCTTAAAGTACTTTGGGAGGATGCTTCATCAAAACAATTTATGACAGAGCCAATACTAGATAGTGCACTTTATGCCAAATCATTAAGAAATCAATTAACAGTCGGATTATTGTTATTGGTTGTTACTTATGGATTTTTTCCATATGTGTAAGGAACATTCAACTTAGTATTTTTTTGCTGAAAAATTTCAGTTAATTTATTTTCTACTTTCTATAAATATTGATTTTATTCACCAGGGTATTTATCGACCATTTTATCTCTCACAGAGACGAATATTTTTTTAATTTTTCTATTATTATATACCCCATCAGTTATCCTTTTACAGTTAACACTTTTCCCCGGTATTTTATATGTCTCATTTTTGAACAAACAATTCTTTTGTTATGCTACATATATTGGCTTTGTGGAGATGTCATGTTTATACAATTAACAACTCATGTTAGCATTCATATAGCACGGTAATAATTTTTTTATAAAGCTACTGACTAACAAAATAGAAGTTTTTTTTATCATAAAACTAAATTCTTTATTGATTGAGAATCTTTATATTGATATTATCATTAATACAGATATTAGCAAATAGACTGCTTAGCCTTAATGGAACTGCACTCAATGATTTTACAAATAATAAAAATCATGAAGAATTATGAAACATTGCATCGGAACATCACCAACAGTATTTGTACGTAATTAATATACAGATACGGCAAAAAAAATTTTCAGTTATTTTCGATAGGCTGTGTTTCAGGGAAAAATTTTCATAGCAAAAGTTTGGAAAAAAGCTTTCCAGACCTTATAAATACTAGTCTTCAGGTCTTGTAGCTAAAAATTTTTAAGAGCTACTGTAGGAGCTGAGTATTTTTAGGCGATATTTTTTTTTTTATTGCTATACTAGAAAATCTGGTAGTTTATAGAAAATAAAAAATTATGCCGCTGGGCTTAAGGATTTAAATCCATTAGCGGGTTAATTCAGCAAAATTTACTAGAAAGGACTCAGAAAATAATGATTTCGGTAAACTGCGATACCCAACCAGTCAGTTAAGAATTCTAATAAGTATCTAAAAGCAGATTGAATTTGTTGATGAATTATAAGTTATAAGTAAACAAAAAAATCTTAATTCAAAATTAAATATCTCTGAAACTATAAATCTGACGTCTAAATTTTGAAAATCAAATTGCTTTCAACTGAAATCACTCGATGTCTACCAAAAATTAATTTTTTTCAAAATTGCCAAATTTTCCGCAATGAATTTCGGATAATTTTTCAGCTCGCAACATCAATTTGTTTAAAAAAACTTCGATTGTTTAAAACTAATAATTTATTGGTCGGACGTAGATTAAAAAAAAAGAAATTGTAACTTTTTTTAAGCTCTACAATTTGTTTGTAAAAATTTTACTCGTCAGATATTCATAGCTTCGAAGACATTTAATTTTCAATTTACATTTTTTTTCTTCACTTATAATTAATGAATAAATTAAATCTGCAGGCAGGTACTTATTAGAATTCTTAATTAACCGGTTAAGTATCGAAATTTACCGAAATCATTATTTTCCGAGTGCTTCCTAGTAAATTGGCTAGATTCTGTGGACTATAATGATTTCTCACTAAAATATAGCTTATCAAAAATCATAGAAGAATTTTTGAAAATTTTTTTGCTCCTTTAAATTTTGCGAGGAGTGTATTATTTTAATTTAAATAAAATTTTATAATGTTTTATCAGATATTGCCAATGGCTCCAAAGATTTTTTAGTCCAATTGTCCTTTTTGTCACGTTGATTAATGCAGCAAACCTTTGTTTTTCCCTTTTTCGCGTCGACCAAGTAAGATAAATAGTCAATGCATACATTTATTATTTGCCAAAGTTTATATTACACTATAAGTAATTACGTAGTTTAAAAATACAGTTCAAAAATTTATTGACAGGAAATCAATCAGAAGAATTGGAGCGGTCTTTTAGTGAATGCAATACATTTACTTGCTGTTTTAGGTCAAACAATTTTGTACTGCATGCATGCAGAAATGTTAACTGTTAAGGTATTATAATTTTATAAATTCTGTTAAAATTCCTTCCTATTATTATCAAATATTATTTATAGCTTGAAGCCATTTATTTCTGTGACTGGACGGGCTCATCTAAAAAGTTCAAAACAATGGTTTTAATGATCATGAAACGCGCTCATAAAGAGTATAAGTTTACAGTTTATGGAATAATAACTTTCAACCTCAATCAATTCACAAAGGTTATAAGGCTTTCATTATTATAACTACCGTTCGTAAACGAGTAATTTTTGTTTTTTTACTTCTCAGATTGTTAACGCAGCTATGAGTTATTTTACATTATTGAGAAGTTTTGGATAGTTTACAATTATCAAAACTCTATAGTGAAGACAAATATATGTTTAGTCGGGTCACAATAATAATTAATATGCATTATAAATTAGCTAATATACAAAATGTTCCGAGGAAAAATAAATTTTATGATTGAAAATGAGCCGACATTTTACAATTATTTGGATTTTTATAAAAAAATCAATTGTAATAAAAAAGAAAAAATATTTTTTTTTAATTTATACTTGTTAAAATTTTTACACTTGAAATTTTTTATAGTAATTTAATTATTATATTTTTTTTTAAATGGTCAGATGCCTGTTAATTTCAACATCATGTTTATTGGTAAGCAAAAATCTCATACTGTCGTGAATCACTTATCTTCATCTTCATCTTCAGAATTGTTTTTAGCAGGGGAAAAGATTGTGCACTGTAGTCAAACTAAATACTTAGGCGTAATGCTAGATGAATTCTTATGTTTTGATAGTCATACATATTATATTATTAAAAAAATTAATACTATAGAATTAATTTGATGTACAGACTGAGTAGTTATATGTAAGTGATTACACAAAAGTATTAATTTATAAATCGATGATCGCTCCGTATTTTGATTATTGTTCAACTCTTTTGATTAATATTAATGAGGAATGTGTGAAAAAATTACAAAAATGTCAGAATAAAGCGATGAGAATAATATTAAGAGTAAATAGATATACGCCAATTAGATGTATGCTAGATGCACTATGTTTTCTGTCTGTTGAAGAAAGAATTAAATTTAATGTGTGTGTTTGTATATAAGATGAAAAATAACTTGTTACCAGAGTATTTAAATAGAATTGTTGTTGATAATTAACATAATTATAATACAAGATACAAAAATAGACTACTAGTACAAAGAACAAGAACTGTGAGTGCTCAAAAAACAATAAATATGTATGGTTTTTCATTATTTAACAAGTTAAATATAGACACAAAAAATGCAAGAAATTTAGTAATGTTTAAAAAATTATTAAGAGAAGAAATAAGAGAAGGAAAAATTTAAAATTATAGACAGGAAGCAAGTGTTGATCTGTAATAAAAGATCTAAGATCTTTTATATGTTTTTTTTTATGTAAATGTAGCTTAAAGCTAAATAAAGAACTATATTATTATTATTATCTTCTTCTTTGTTTATACTAAACTGGAAATGATTTACCTTTTTTAATGAAGCAAGAAAAATTGTATGTGAAGATAATAAATAAATTAATTAATTAATAAATTACTACCAAGAAGTCCAGCACTTTTATATAAAACGTTTAATGGTCCAATAAGATTTGCTGAAAAACACAAAATATTAATGACTTATAAGCTCACAAGCTTAATATACAAAATAATTAAATACTCTTATGATAATTTGTAAGTCCTTACTAGACTGCATTTACTAGCACCTCTACATGATAGTAATACTGTACTATCTTTGACCGTTTGCTTAGTTCTGAGTTAACCCGATCGATTTAATTTGAAACAGATGTGCATAAATTGATTAGAGCGATGTACTTTACGTTTAAACTCCTTCAATTATCTTATGTAGTAAATTGCATGTAAATTACAATTTCAATGATAATAGGTCTCCAGAAACTAGGGAACGAATTACATTGTACTCACGAGATTGCAGATCAAAAGTAATTTTTAAGTGTCATTATTGGATACACTTTAATGATAAAATGAGCGGAAAAGAATTAACAAATTTTATTACGTTCGAAGAAATTTTTAATGGAGATGTTTGGATTTTACGTTGTATGGGATTGTCATATTTTAATCGCGTGTTTTCGAATAAAGAAGAAACTGAAAAATGGTGGGAAAAAATAATTCCATTGTGTGGTCTTTTAACAATGAGTTTGTTGATTTCTATGGAAATAATAAGAGCTTTACGAATAATAGTTGTTGATATTCCTGATGCAACTGAAATACTTACTGCAATGCTTTCCGGAATGCTTTGTACCTTTAAAGTAAGGTTTATTTTTATTTATATTTAATATAAATAATATTAGAGTGTGGAACCAGTTACTGGAGGAGATTGTTACGATTATTGATTACAATGAATTTTGATTTAAGTGTTACAAGTTTTTTGTAGATCAAGATAATAAATAGCTGTAATAACTAATTATTCAAATTCATATTTTTGCTTTTCTTTCTGTTTTATGAACTAAAGTCATTAGACAATAACTTAGATAGACTTTGCTTTGAGATAACGTTACTTTTATTACTTTTCTAATCTCTTATTAGTCTCGAGTGAAAAAATGTTATATAGTTTTTTACGTTTTAAGAGCTTTCTCCAAAGGACAGCTTAAAAAAAAATTTTTAAGAGGTCGCTTCAAATTTTTTTTAATTTCAAAAATCAAACTTTTTTTTTTAATTTTTTTTCTCGTTACATCATAATTTTATAGACCAAAAAAAATAAGTTACTGAAAGTTTCAATTCAAAATTTAAATTTTGAAAGGTCACTCATAATTTTTTTTTAAATTTCAGATTCAAAAAATACTCATCCAATTAAATAGTCACTAATAAATTAAAAAAAAATTATGAGCAACCTTTTAAAATTCACAATTTGAACTGAAATTTTTAGAAAAACCTTTTTTTTTTTGGTCTATAAAATTATAAGGTAACGAGAAAAAAAATAAAAAAAAATTAAATTCGATTTTTGACGATTTTTGAAATCTAAAAAAATTTGGAGCGACCTCTTAAAAATTTTTTTTTAAGCTGTCCTCTGGAGAGAGCTCTTAAAACATCAAAAACTAACATTTTTTCACTCGAGACTAAAAAAAAAATAGTCGGTTTTTTGCGCCACCCTACTATATATTTATATGTAAGGCTCTTAGAGAGCTGAGGCTTAAGGGTCTAAAAATTTTGATAAATAAAATAAAAAATAAAAATATTAATAACAATAAAATTTTTTAGGCAATAAGATGTTGGACTCATCGAAAAGAACTCTTTGAATTTTTACGACAGTTAAAAATTCTATGGGAAACAGCTAACTCAAATAACTTCATCACTGACAGTATATTAGATACTGTACTTTTTGCAAGATCATTACGAAATTATTTGACATACACATGTATTGCATTAGCTGTCAGTTACGGTTTTCCAGCTTACATGTAAAATTATTTGAATATCGCTAAAAATTAATTAAATTTTAATTACTTTTTTTTTATATTCTTCCTAGTGTTCTTGGCAGCCACTTGATTTTTTACAGAGATCAATACTTTTTCAATTTATCCATCATAATATACCCAGTCGATTATCCGTTTGCAATTAATTCATACGGAGTGTACTTCATGTGTCTCCTCTTCGAACAAGTAGCTGAATTACTTGCTATCGTTTTCTGGTTGTGCGGAGATGCACTTTTCATTCAATTAACAACACATGTTTATGTTCAATGCATGGTAATAATATTTTTTTATTAATTGTCAATCAATATTGCTTAACTGTACTTAATTATTTTTAGATATTAGTCAACAGGCTTCATGATATTAATAAAATTAAAATTGCTTCTTATGAAGAAAACAACAAAGAACTGGCAGATATTATCTTTCGTCATCATCAATTATATTTGTATGTAGTAGGTATTTAAAAATAATCGCTATAAGTTAGTTAGTAATTGTTTGGTACTTTAAAAAAAAATACTTGTTAATTTTTTTCAGACACTGCTGCTGGCTCCAAAAATTTTTCAGTCCTATAGCATTTTTCGTGACTTTAATAAATGGAGCTAATCTTTGCTTTTCTTTGTATCGCGTCGACGGAGTAAGAAAAAATTAATATGAATAGTTAATTATAAAATGATTGCTATAACAACACAAATTTTATTAATAGGAAATAAATGAACAAAACTGGAGTAATCTTTTGATAAACGTACTCCATTTGGTCGCAGTTCTCGGACAAACAGTTTTATATTGCAAGTATGCCGACACTTTGGCGGAAAAAGTATTAATTTTTTTTACTTACCTATTACATAGATTATAATTATTTTTTTCATACTATGTTTTTATTGAAATAACATTTTTCTTAGTTTGAAGAGATAAGTTATGCTGTTTATTACTCCAATTGGACTCATTGCGATAAAAAATTCAAAACAATGATGATAATGATAATAGAACGAGCTCAAAAACGATATCAATTTACAATTTATGGGATTATTACTCTCAATTTATTGCAATTCACAAGGGTTTGTAAAACACTGTTTATTGAAGATAAAAGAATGACGTGTTAATTTTCCGGGAAAAAATTTTTTACATCTACATGAGAAAAGAATTATATCAAAAATTACAATAGTAACTTTTCCACAATTTTATTTTTTAGCTGAAAAAATCAAATTTTTTCTTACAGTAACTCTATCGTTGGAAAAAAGTTTTCTAAATTTGGGAAAAAACCATATTGGATGAAAATTTGCAATTGTCTATCTAAATTTTTTTTCCCCAATCAAAAATCCTTTTTTTTAACAAAAAAGTTACTTTAGGAAAAATTTTGATTTCTTCAGGTATGAAATAAAATTATTAAAAATTTTCAGAAAATTTGATCATTTTACATTTTTAACTTTATAATATGTTATATCGTAAAAATTCGGATATTTACTACTTTTGTAGACATTATTACGATATATCATCGTAAATTTTAAAATGTAAAATTATCATTGTGACCGCATCGAAAATCTGGTCCTGGATTACAATGTTACCATTGTAATTTTTCGTTCAATTTTTTTTCAATATACGGAGATCTAAAAAAGGGTGCGTTAGATGAACATAGATCTACTTAAAAGTACATTGATCTAGGTACATCTTATTCTCCCTGTAACCTGTGAAATTTTTCTATATAAATTTTTTTTTATATTTACCACTATAGGGTAGAACCACCGATTATGGACACCTTAGTGCTAGATTTAGACACTTTCAAATTCAATGATTGTGCAGAAAATTGTAAAGTTAAAATAATATTTTCATAGAATTTTTAAACGCTTACCTGCATGCAAACAAAATTTATGATACAATTACGTTTATAAATTATTTATACAATAATTTGTACATCAAATGTCCAAAAACGGTATAGTGTCCATAAACGGCCGGTGCTTCTACTCCATATGCATTTTAAATTAGGTCTCTGTACATCTAAAATCGTGCTTGAATGTAGATGCAAGTAGATCTATTCTATTTTATTTTCCCATCAGGTATATATTTTTTAATTTCTTTCTTTTAATTAGATCGTCAATGCTGCGATGAGTTACTTCGCGCTATTAAGAAGCTTTGGATAATTTAATTTTTTTATAACTACAATGAATTGGCTGTAAACCTAAAAAAATTATTCAAGATATATAATATGTCTCCGTTATATAGTTAGTCCGTAAGAGTCAAAAAAATATTTTTTTTTTTTCAATACATATGTGTAAAATATTTTTTTTACCTGCTTGACTCTAAGAAAAATGTATAAGTTTGTTCTAATTATCCAAAAATACGTTCCATTATTATTTTTTTGATAAATTCACTTGAACATTAATCAAATTTTTATACTGTAAAAAAAGCGGTGTTAAAAATGAAAAAATTGAATAAATACTACATCGTAAAAAAATTAAGAGTGAATTTTCACTTCTGCCACTCGAAGTGCCGGTGTGCAGAAATAAAATCCTCTGCGTACGGAGTAAGCCTGGAGTTCTTTTTTTTTTGCAGAGTGATTGCCAAGTGAATGTGGATTTTAATCCGAAAAACACATGAGTACGGAGTTTTTGAAAATATACATTTTTATTTAACTGAAACAAGTTTTAAATGCCATTTTTTTTATCAGTATAAAAAAATTTCAAATTTAGTAAAAAATTCAAACTGACAATAATTCAATTTTAGTTTTAAAAAATCTTTAAATACGCATTATTTTATTTTTATTTTTATCCATTCAAAAAACATACAATTCACTTCACTAAGTTTTTTTTTATTATAATATAAATTAGATCCTTTTCGGAGTGGATTTCACTCTGGAGGGATTAAATCAATTAAAAATGATTTACCCCGCATTCTCTCCCCAAATTTTCTACGGTCTACAGGCTTTGATAATTAGTCGCTAATGAATTTTATAAAATTGTCCCGATTCAGTAAGTAAAAGTGTGAAAAAAGAAGTTATAAGTATTGAAAAATACTTCAACACTGCTTTAACACCGCTTCGGTGTTAGAATTGAACACTGAAAATTTTAATACTTCCACCGCCTGGACTTACACCAGTTTTTTTCTTTACATTGTATCAAACAATGTTAGAAGAAAAAAAAATCTCAGAAAATTTTCTATTTCTTATACCACATAAGGTTGAACCCTTTTAACCCTTGAGTTCACATATAACGTGCAAAGAGTATACATTATCTTACCAATTTGTCGATATCCTATAATTCTAACCGACCAAAATTATAACGCGACAGATGTCCATAAATTGATATGAGCATCACTTGTATTTCAATCGATTTTTACCCGAAGGTACCGTGCTACCTTGGACAATTTAGCGTAATTGTATGTAATTTTCTCAACTTATAATATTACATACAAGCTTCTTGGAAACGAATGAACAATGTTTCATTTCTTCTGTGATATTAATATCTTCAACTATTCTCAAAACCAGAAGCCTATAGGGAATATCTATCGTTTGATGACTCCTTGGTGATACTGAAATAAATTTATATCGGACTTAAATTAATTTCTAAATTGATATTAAAATGTATAATGATCAATCAGCAACGTTTGATTTTGTATCATTTGAAAGTTTTTTTCATACTGAAATTCGGATATTGCGATGCATGGGATTGTCATACTTCAATTGTGTATTTTCCAATAAAAAAGAAACTGAAAAATGGTGGCAAAAAATAACTCCGTTAATTGGACTTATAATAATGAGTTTATTAATATCTATGGAAGTAATGAAAATCATTCAAGTAATATCCATCAGTATTACTTATGCGGCTGGAATATTTACCGCAATGCTGTCAGGAATGCTTTGTATGTTTAAGGTAATAAAATTTTGTAAAAAAAAATAATTAAGCTGGCTTAAAAAAGATATGAGAAACATTTTTATCTGTTTTTAATACAGGCAGTAAGATGTTGGACTCATCGAAAAGAACTTTTTAATTTTTTACAACAACTCAAAGCTTCTTGGGAATCAGCATACGCAAATAAATTGTTAACCAAAGATGAATTAAACAATGCGCTTTATTCACGATCATTGAGAAATTATGTGATGGTTTTAGTATTTGCATTAGCATTTAGTTATGCCTATCCCGTCTATGTGTAAAGTTACTTTCTGTAATAAAAGAATTTCAGGTAAAAAATTATATTTTTATAATCCTTATCAACATATTTTGCAGAGGAATTGTCAAACATTTTGTATACCACTCAGAAGAATACTTTTTTACATTCTCACGAATAATGTATCCAGTTAAGTATCCGTTTAAGATAAACACATTTTCAAGATATTTCGCGTGTCTTCTCTTCGAACAAGTATCGGAAATTTTGGCTATTGTTTATTGGCTGTGTGGAGATATACTATTCATCCAATTAACAACGCATGTTAGTATTCAATGCAAGGTAATATAATTGTAAAAGTTGGAATAATTTTTTAGTTAAGAAATAAAAAAATTTCATGATTTGATTGTTTTTCATTGTAAGGTATTGATAAATAGATTAAATAATTTCAATAAGGATAATACTTCTAGTGAAGAAGAAAACTGTCAGCAATTAATAAATATTATTTCACAACATAATCAATTGTTTTTGTAAGTAAAGCGTTAGATGGACTTTTAATCTCTTAGAAAATATTTTTTTTTTTTTTTAATTCTATAAAATTATATTTTTTTATGTTAATATTTTATTTTACACACTTTGAAAAAAATGGGCATTGTTGTGACAAGAAATCAAAATTTATCTCACAAAAACATTCTTGATGAAAAAAAGTTTTCTAGATTCAGAAAAATAAAACAATTTTGGATGAAAATTTGCAAGTTGTCCATCTAAAATTGTTTTTTTCCTAAATCTAAAAAACTTTTTTCAACAAGAATATTACTGTAAGATAAATTTAGATTTCTTCAGCTAAGAAATAAAATTGTTAATTAATCAAATTAATTTCTTCTCACAACTATGCCAATTTTTTTTTCTCTCCGTGTATGGGAAGATAAATTAATTTTTTTAGAAGAAATTCGTTTTATATAATTTATTTTCAATTGTTTCCTTATAAAATTTTTTTTATTCTCACATAGACTTTGTAAATGGCTCCAAAGATTTTTTAGTCCGATTGCGTTCTTCGTTACATTAATCAATGGATTAAACCTCTGCTTTTCATTATATCGAGTCGATCAAGTAAGAAAAAAAATAAAAACTTTACAATGTTCAATATACAACGTTATCAAAATGATTTCCACAGCAAATTAGCCAGGGAAACTGGAGTCATCTCATCGAAAATACAATACACTTGGTAAATGTTTTTGGACAGACTCTTTTGTACTGCAAACAAGCTGACATGCTAACTGAAAAAGTATTTGTATATATATATTTTTTTTATTTCTTCACTTTATTTATATTTATTTCACTTTATTAGCTTGGTGAAGTAAATAATGCAATTTATTGTTCTAATTGGATTCAATTGAATAAGAAATTAAAACTGATACTATTAATCATGATGAGACGGGCCCAAAAAGAATATCGTTTTACGATTTATGGAATTATTACTCTTAATCTTGCTCAATTTTCAAAGGTAAATTTTTTAATATTTAATTATTTATGGAGTTTTTACTTAAACTGAATTTTTTATTTTGTTAGATTGTTAACACAGCGATGAGCTACTTTACACTGCTAAGAAGTATTGGTTGATGTTTTATTGCCTGAATAAAACTAAAAATTAAATAGTTGCCTTTATAATTAAATTTTAATGAAACTGATTTATTAAAATTGATACGTAGGTATATCAACGATATATATTATAAAATTATATGAAAAGATTTTATTTATAGGTAAATAACAGAAAAAAAAATTATTAATTATGCATTTTTTTCTCTTTAAAAATAAAAATTACCCTGTTTAAAAATACTGATTGAAAATAATTAAAAAACATGAAATTTGAATTTTTTTCAATAATTTAAATTCTTTTGCTTGCTAGAATATATGAAGCTGAACTTATTATTTATTTATTTTATTTATTAATAATAAATGCCAAGGCACAGGCCAAATGGCAAGATATGAAATACAATAAATCTTGTGGAACTGAAAAATTTACAAAATAATACAGATTATACATGAAAATTAGCATGTGTAAGTAAATAACATACAAAACTATTAAGTAATATAAGAATCAATTTAAATTTAACAATATTATAAATTTAAAAGTATTTTTGGTAATGATTTATGATAAGATTTAATGAGATTTAAATAAGTCCATTTCTTATTTGGAATAAGAGCTTACTAACATCTTATAAAAACTAGCTAAACAAAATAATAAATTGTAATATATATTAAGTTGTAATATTGCACATAAACTTAGAAATATTAATCAATCTATAAGTCAATTGACAAAAGGTAATTGAACAAATTCTTTTTGAAGACTTCTAGTGAACTTGCATCTATAATATCGGGTGGAAGTTTTTGCCATAACCGTATTAGCCAAAATGAAGCAGCTAAATTGACAATTGCTTGCAATATTCAATATATATGGTTGTTAATTTCAAGAGAAACTTGTTAGACACATTTATATACTGCGAAGTACAATTATATTTGTTGGTTCGGCTCCGATATGCTTGATGGTACGAACATGGCGCGCTTCTTATAACCACTCGTCTTCACACCTAATCAACATATAGAAATTTTTATCTTCTACTACAGACTCTCCACAAAATGTACTGGGCCGTGGCAATGGCTTAAAGGCCTAGATGATGAGTCTGTGTAATTACCGACATAAATGCCTCACATATATTTCTTTTTTCCTTTATTTCTTTTATCATCTTTCGCTCTAACAACGTTTCTTAGTATATCTTAGTATTGGACTATGAATTTTACAACTGTTTTAATTGGATATTATTTATAGTCACACGAAAACAATTAATATATGTTACTATCAAGGAAAAAATTTTTATAAAATTCTATGAAGACTCAAAGGAATTGTTGGTATAAAATTTTAGATATCTTCATGAAATTCGATGAATTACTAGATATTTTTAAGTACTCAATTATTATCGAAGCAACGAAGAGTAGAACAACAATCTGAAATTTTATTTAAATCTTATTTGATTCCTAGTTTCAATAAGATATATGCATGAGAATTTAAATAATTATATTATAGATAATACTAAAATTATCTGAAGTTTTTAATTTTTTGATTCTTTTTCATTTATTTAATTAGAACTAAAAAATATTTTTAATAAATTGCACTTATGGTTTTTTAAGTTTTTTATGAATGAAAATTTTTTTTTAATTTTTTTAATTAAAAAAAATTATAAAAATTTTTACATGTCGGCTAACTTAATTTTCATAAATTATAGCAATTTTTTTTACTTTGATTCTTTTTATAAAATTCCATAGTTGTATTTCTTCGAAGGTCTAAAAATTAAAAAAATTTCTACTGTTACTTTTCATGTCATCATATTTTTTTTTAATTTATTAAAAAAGATTTTTTTTTTCAATAAAAATAAAAGAGATTTATAATTTTAAAATTGTAAAGTGGAAATGTAAATTGTTTAAATTCTCACGTACTTAATATTTTTCTACGAAATTTTCCAGATTGATTTGAAAGTACATAACAAGTATAATATATATTATCTTCAACATGCAGCGCTCATAGTGAGCAACTCGGAGCAACTCATGAAAAAAAAACTGTAAGCTCATTTTTTATTATTTAATTTAATAAAAATACAATACTAATTTTCTCACCATAATTAACAATAACAAATAAAAAAAAACTCATTTAACTGTAATAAACAAAAGTATTCTAATAATTTTTTAAATCGGCATTTAACTGTACCAATCAGATTCATCTCCCAGATCACGTGACTCTCACATGGCTTAGTTTACAGTCCATGTTTATTATTTTGTTACATGTTAAAAAATCGCACGTGGTTAGTTAAAAAAATTAATTAATCACCATAATTGTTTATTGATTAATAAATAATAAATATTTGTTTAAATTTTTAAAAATGAGTAAAAAACGTCAACGGAAAACTCAGTACGACGATAATGAATATGATGTTATTCCAAAATCTCTGAAAGTGATTCGAAACTCCAGTCAGAAAAAACGTTTAATAGTTATTTTAGAAAATGCTCAACTAGAAACTGTCAAGGTAATTATTGTCTAATTATTTCACCTTAACTTTTTTTATTAATTAAACTCTATTAATAATATTTTTTACAATTAATAATAATTTGCATAATTGTTGGTTATCATCGTTTGTAGGTTGGAAATAACTACGAGCTTTTGAATAGTGATAGGCACAAAGACATATTGCAAAAAAACAATCGTAACCCAGCTACTTCAAGACCAGATATTGCGCACCAATGTTTACTTACGCTCCAGGAATCTCCATTAAATAAATCTGGATACTTACAGATATATGTACATACTGAAAACAATGTGCTTTTTGAAGTAAACAGGCTTACTCTAATCCCATCTAATTTCGACGATTTTGCTGAATTGATGGGTACGATATTATTTAGTGATTATTGGTTAATTTATTTATATAAGTATATTTTAATTGACTTTTTACAATTACAGTTTGCCTTTTACATAAACATAAAGTACGAGCTGAGAATAACAAATCGATTCTTTTAAAAATTATTAAAAATCCAATTACTGATTGGTTACCAGCTGGTTGTAAAAAAATTTTAATGTCCTTCAGCGCTGATAAAATAAAAGATCCTGAAGAACTTGTTCCTGATGATGAACCAATTGTGTTTATCATTGGAGCGATGGCTCACGGACAAGTAAGTATTTATTCATGTCATTGAAATTGGCATGAAAATTAAGAGCCGACATATAAAAAAATTATTACACAAAATTTTTTTTTTAATTTCATTTGTAAAAAACTTGAAAAACTATAAGTGTAATTTTTTAAAAATATTATTTAGTTCTAATTTAGTAATTAAAAAAAACTTAAAAAAATTATCAATGTCGACTAACTTTAGTATTACAAAATTGGCAGATATTGACAATTTTTTAATTATTCTTCAATAATAAACTAAGCTTAGAAAATTGTTTACAAAAAATTGCACTTAAAATTTTTTAAAGATTCTAAAGGAATTTTTTTAATGAATTTTTCTTGCTATAATTTATTATTTAAAAAATTATCAAAAATCTCTCAATGTCAGTATCACAATTATTCATGTTTTTTTTTTTCTCTTCATTTAATAATAGTAATTAATTAATTGATTGATTATTTTTTTCAAGGTAAAAATCGATTATGCCGAAGAAACATTTTCAATAAGCAGCCTACCATTATCCGGAGCACTGACATGCACTGAGTTATGTGTAGCATTTGATAAAAAATGGACTCGATGAAAGTACTTATATTTTTTTAAATCAATAAATAAAAATTATTAGTGATTAATTAAAGCTTGAAATTTTATTCAACATTTATACATTTTATATTTAAATATTTACAGTCTTGCTGTTAAATTACTAAAATGAAACATTGGCTTAACATATATCAAATAAAACCATAATGTTTCAACAGAACTTATTTATTTTAATAAATAATAATATAATTTTTGGTCAAGTTAATGACGATCAGTATTCTAGTCTCTTTAGTAAAAAATGTTTAATTAAACATTTAAATTATAAATTTCGATTCAATGTACTAAATTAGCAATAATTAGATACTATATGAGTCGTTATGTAATTTTCCATATTTTGTAGAGCTTCTAAATGATTTCTTACAATGGTTTCTTTACAATTTGCATTAAGTTTGTACCACCGTCGAATTGTATCGACAGCTTTCAAAGTATCTTCATCCAAGGGAGTTATTAACGAATCAGGCTTCAGTTTCTGGTTTTCAGGTTTTGAAATATCAGTCACATCTGAATCTGACATTGGTTCAGGGATTGGAAATTCCAGAACATCAATCATATTTGAGTCAGTTTCCAATTCTTGGATTTCAAGATTTGAACAATCCATACCATCTGATTCAGGCGTTGATTTCCGTTGCAATATTTCAGATTTTAAATTATTACTTTCTGTTGATTTAAGGAACTCAAGTTTTGTTACGTCAATTGTGTCATCAAGGCTTGCAAAATCTGTGTAATCAACAGAATCATCGGAATCTTCAGGAATTTTTTTATCGGAGTCGTACTCGTCTTTAAATTTATCGTCTATGAGTTCCGTATCTTCGCAGGTTTCATCGAATATTATCATGTTATGTGCGTCAAGTACTTGTTGTGCAATACTTTTTAGTTTCAATGGTTCCCATCCTTGATCGAAAAAATCATCTTTCAGCCAACTTCTTACATCTTCGTGATTACACTTTTCACAAGCTGAAAAAAAAATTAAATTATTTTTAAAAAGTATGTAATAATAATAATAATAATAATAATAATAAATAAATAACAATACCTGGAATATTTTTCAACAATTTGATAAATTCAGCAGTGTTATCATACTCAAATGTTTCAGAAGCAGCTTCTTGAAACGACTTTGCATTAGATTTTTTAGCCAACTCATACGACTTTTTCAACTTGGACCACGTAGCAGCTAAGTCCTTTTTCGACAACTCTTGCCAGGTTGAAGCCATCATGTAGCAAGCATCAATGATCTCAAAATTGTTTAAAAAAACATCAGGATCGTTTGATTTTTCGTACGATGAAGCTATTTCTTGCAGTAATTTTTTCCTGTACATTATTTTAGTTTTTTGAATGACATGTCGATGCAATAAGTCAGTAACAGGAGTAACCTTCGAATAAGCTTTTACCACGCGAAACTGAGGATCTATTTCATTCAATTCCTCAACCGGAGGATGAATAGGACAATTATCAATTATTAGCAGCACAGGATCTTTAGTCTGTTGCTTGTTCTTTACAAAAGGAATGAAATGATTTTTGTACCAATCAGTAAATATTTTCTGCTCCATCTGCGACGATTTTTGAGCTGCATAAGTAACAGGATATGGTTTTTTTCTTCTAACGGACCCCGGTTTTGTTGACGGACCAATAATTAAAGGCGGCAATCTAAAAGAACCATTAGCATTTGCACAAAATAAAATAGTTACTTTATCTTTAGTTACTGAATTTTTACTTGATTCTTCCGGCAATGACTTCCAGTTTAAGCTACCTTCATCTCCAATATATATATTTTCTATTTTGTAATCTTGATTTTTGTCAATTTTAATATAATCTTCCTGATATTCTGCGTACCTGTCGATATCAATAGACAGCTTTTCTCCCAGGACTTTGCTTCTTTTCATTCCATGTCGGTTTTTAAAAGAAGAGAGCCATCCTTGGCTAGCCTTAAAATGATCAGTACCTCCAATAATTCGATTAACTTCAAGAGCCATTTCGCAAATGTACGGTCCACTGAGCGGCAAGCCTAGCTGTCGGTTTTGACAGAGCCAAGCAAAGAGAATCTCATCTAAAATTTCAGATAATGGGTATCCTGACTTAGTTCTTTTTTTATTAACAATCGCCCTATTGGAAATATTATTGGCATACTTTGATAAATTTTCTCTATTTTGTTTAATTTTATAAATTGCAGCCCTCGAAACACCATTCCTGTCTGCGAGTTCTGTCATAGTAATTGTTCCTGTGTCTAGCTCTTTTAAAATTTCTAATTTTTCAGCGACAGAAAAACGTCTTTGCTGAGGTTTATTGTCTTTTCCTAATATTTTTTTATTTGGTATTGTTGTATTATATTTTTTAATTGGAAACTTTATTGCTTTTGTCGTTCGTATAAATTCTAATTTTTGTTTCAACATTTTATTTTATTTTAATCACTTCACTAAAATTAAAATTTATTTTTACATCACTTATTTGTCACATTTGCTGCATGGAGTATATTTTTGTTTACATTTTACTGTAAAGGTTATATATTTATATTTCGTACTTCGTATATCATTTGTTTTTTTTTTTTTTTACAAGTAGATCACTAGCTTATCGAGCACACTCTATCGGTATATTTTTTTAAAAATAAAATGAGAAAGCCGCGCGCGCGCACTGCAGTGGTGATGTATATAAACAGACAGTTTAATAAACACGTGTCTAATTACTGGTGGTGCTTACAAGAAAAGTTGAATATTTTTAACTAAATTACAGTTATTATATTATAAATTTTGATTTAATAATTATAAAATTTAATCACCGAAACGTTTAAATAATTTATATAATTATTTACATTTTAAAATCATGACAAAAAAACGCTCAAGAGAAAATAAAAACGAGACGGATGAACATAACCTCGTTAAAAAACGTTTGAAAGTTGAAACTCCTTTAAATTTGGATAAACGTTTGATAATCATTTTAGAAAGTGCTCAATTGGAAACAGCCAAGGTAATTATATTGAAATTTTTTTTAATTAATTAATTAACTTATAATTAAAAAAACAATTTTTTTTTTTTTGTTAAATTAATTATCGTATTTTTTTAGGTTGGAAAAAAATTTGAGTTATTACATTCTAGACACGATATTGGACTGTTGAAAAAATATAATCGACAACCTGAAACAACTAAACCCGAATTAGTACATCAGTGTTTGTTAAATTTGCTGGACAGTCCTTTAAATCGAGTTGGATATTTACAGGTGTACATACATACTGATAAAAATGTTTTGATAGAAGTTAATCCTGGAACAAGGATAACCAGAACATTTAACAGATTTGCGGGAGTAATGGGTAAGGCAATTTTTTTTAATTTATTAAATATAAAATTAGATACAATAACGATTTTGACAATGAAAGTAACAGAAAAATAGTAATTTTAATTACTTGAAAATGAAAAACTTTAATATTGATAAAAAATGTACACTGGGGTACATCAAAATTTAATCTCTAAAAGCAACCTTTTAAAATTGGAATTTTGAGTTTCGCTTTTAGCAGGAGTTAGGTTTGGGTATTTCCTGAAATATTTTGATGTGTTTAAAATTATTTGATGCTCACATAATTGTTTAACAGAAGTTTTCTTAAAGCAATTTTTCTGGAATTTCAAAATTTAGTCAAACGAAACTCCTGTTAAAAAATTCTGTGAATATCAAATAAATTGTGACATACCAAAATATATCAGGAAATGCCCAAATACAACTCCTGTCAAAAGCGAAACTCAAAATTTCAATTTTAAAAGGTTGCTTTCGAAGATTAAATTTTGACGCACCCTAATGTACATGTTTTAAAATATTTTATTCTGTACATGCCTGCTATTTTCATTAAATTTCACAAGTGCCACAATTTCATTAATCTTAATTAATGCTTATCTTTTTTGTTAATTTTCAGCGCAACTTTTACATACTAACAGAGTACGAGCAGGGAATCAGCCAGTAGATTTACTAAAAGTTATTAAGAACCCAATAACAAATTATCTGCCAGCCAATTGTAAAAAAATACTATTGTCTTGTCGAGCAAAAGAATTTAAATATCCAGAAGAATTAGTTCCTGATAATGAGCCAGTTGTCATTGTAATTGGTGCAATTGAACAGGGGCAAGTTAAAGTCGATTATACGGACAGTACAGTTGCTATTAGTGATTATTCGACGTCTGCAGCGAATATTTCAGGAAGTTTGTGTTCAGCATTTAAAAGAAAGTGGATACCAGCAAATTAGATATACTTAATAAATTTTTCAAATTAAATACACGTGAGTTTACAAATGGAGAGAAACTCAAAGTTGAATAATTGTCAGGATGGGCTGGAGGTATAGGAAATTTTTACAATAAAAAAAGTTTGCAAAAGTTTTTATCTTTTATTTTTTTCATTAATCTTATAATTATTTTAAGATTTATTTTAACTTTCTCTTATTTATTTTAAGAGGTTTTTAACAAAAAAAAAGGATTTTTTTTTTAGAATACGAATTTAATCATTTAAAACAAATAAGTATATTACATTAAAAACATATGTACCTGAAGTTCCGAACGTTCATTTATGAACGAAAATCAAAAAAAAATTTTTTTTGCTCCTGAAACTGAAAATGGTTTTTCAGTTTCGAATAGAGACAGTGAGCCCTAAAAATGATATATTAGCTCCTCAAAACACAAAAACCACCCCTCCAGCCACCCCAAAAACTTACACTTGGAAAAAACAACAGTTATTTTTCTGGAGCTACAAAAAAAATGTTCTTGAATCATGTATATAATTTTGAAGAACTTAATTTTCTTGATTTGAGTGAAAAAAAAAAAACTAGTTCCACAATTCACCACTAGATGGCGCACGAACCCTTTTTTTCTCGCAAGTCAAAATTTACTTCAAAAATTATTTGACTAATAATAAAATTTCTTAATTGTTATAAAATTTGTTTTCATTAAAAAATAATGTTTATTCACTGAATTTATATTTAAATTAAAAAATTTACTGGCTAATCGATAAACTCTGAATAACGCTTTCACGTTATGTGTGCACTTCGACAAAAAAAAGTAAAACATAAAAAATTATCATCTTTAGAATTTCTTCCGTCGATGGCAAAAGTCATCAAATTATTGTACGGTTTTGTAAAAGAGTAATTTAAACTCACGTGAGTCTCATTGATTTTTTTACGAATTAATGTGAACTCATTGATATTCAGCGGGTCCATTTCACTGTTGATACTCAAAGGAAAATGAACAATACTGTTAGAATCCTCTGAAGTACTTGAAATTACGATTGAATTAAATGTGACTGGTTAAACAATGTTAGTATTAACGTCAAAACGTTTGTTGCAGTTGTTTGAATCTTGAGTAAGGCATGAAATTATACTGCAAACTTGTACCCCAGCTTTTCCAAATTTTGCGTATGATATTATGTCGTCAAATACAGCGAAGTAGTACCTAAAAATTGATGATTAATAGTTATAATAATTATTTTCTAAATAATTTAAACTAGCAACCTTGCAGTCACTATGAGACTGCCGTGACTTGTAAACTATAAATAAATAAAATTTTGCTTTACTAAATAATGACTTTTGTTAAATTGCACTGTACTTTTATAACTATTGACGTTTTTAAAGATATAAGATCATCTCGATGTTGCACTCATCAAGAGCTTCCATTTGAGTACCCACATGCATTTTCATATATTTTTCACATATAATATATATAAATATATTTAATACATGAAAAATTGATGTGGGTACTCAAATGAAAGGTCTCGATGAGTGTAATGTCGGGGTGAGTTTATTTCTTAAAAAATGTCAATAATTCACAAGATATTTATTAAATTACACTGTACTTTCTTAAATATTGACATTTTTAAAGATATAAGCACATCTCGATGTTACACTCATCAAGAGCTTTCATTTGAGTACCGACATGCATTTTTGATATAATTAATATATATACATTTATCTAATATATATAAATATATGAAAAATTGATGTGGGTACTCAAATAAAAGGTCTTGATGAGTGTAACATCGGGATGACCTTATATCTTCAAAAATGTCAATAGTTCACGAGATACAAGGTAATTTCTTAATTATGTATCTAGAGATAGAGCTTTTTCGAATGCAGCCTAAATACTTATTATCATAAATTAACTATTGGTGAGAATGATATGAAAGCTTAAAGAGCTAGTGTCATTACTATAAGAACTTTCTCTGATTGAAAAAAAAAAAAAAAAAAAAAAAAGAAGTTAAAAAGTATTTGGAATAACGAAATGTGAATTCTTTTCAACACTTATAAATATTTTCTAAACACTTCTAAATACTTAAAAATATTTTCATTGTTTGTGAATTTCTTCTCTTATGGAAAATTAACATTTGTAATCGTTTTGGATTCTTTCTTAGCACCAAATTTATACCAACTTACCTCCATGACACTAGATGCCGAGTCGTTACACAAAACTTTAGATTTTTTGTAGTCAGGTAAATATGTGCTGTGAGGTAAAAAAAAACTTCGACGGTAAATTGGTGGACGAGATTGGCCACTGAATAATCCATTTTCGGGAAAAACAATTATATCTACTTGCTAAAAAGACATGTAATAACATTAAATTTAAGAACTGTTTGTGTAAACAATTAATACATGTGATCAAAATTTACGTTTTCCTTTGCTGTATGTAAAAATTTAATGAAATTTTTAGCATTTTCTTCAGCGATAACTGTGGTGTTTTTACCCTCAACAATAGGATGATATTCAACTACTACACCGGTGTAATAATTTAAAGATGTTACCTGTTTACAAATATTATTATTTTGAAAATAATGAATTAAGTAAATAGTGAATTAAAAAAATATTCCTTACTTGTAAGGTGAAGTTAATCGAGTAAAAAAAAACGAAGAGATACACACAAATTTTCCCACAAAACATTGTTAATACACAAATAATTTTAATCCTTCGTAGGTCTTTAGTCGTGTGATTTTACCAAACGACTTCGGTCGCGTAAGCGCGCCGCTGTATTATTCGAATGAGAACGGCTACGACATTTGATCATAGCGGAATTTGGAAAAGTCTCTATCGCTCACTCCACTCTGACGAGTAGTGGGTCGCTGTCCGCGTGAAAAATTCAATTTTTATAGAAAATTTTAAGCCATCTTCATTTTATATTATATTTTTAACGCCAAACGGCTTTGTACACGTTGATATTACAAAAGTTTTGATGGAAGTTAAATATAAACAGTATTAATAGAAAAAAGAGACAGAAAATAAAATTAATTATACATAAGGAGAAATATTGCAGCATTATTAAAATTTTCAGAAGAGTTTAGTTTAAGGAAAGAATTAAAATTTTTTCAAAACTTTCCTTTAAAATATTGTTGAGAAAAAATATTGAAATGTAAAAAAACGGTGCCGCGACCTACGAAGAGTTAATTTTAACTAAAAATATCAAAACAGTGATTTTAAGTTACAATTATTTATTTTTGTATGATGATTAATAGTGGCATATTTTATTCAACAACTAAATTTATTTTTACTTGTTAATAACTGCGCTGATTATTTCAGATTATAATAATTTATTTGGTAAAATAACATTTTTTTTTGATAATGAACTTGGAAATAAAACAGTTTATACTTGGAGGATAAATGATTGCATCCAATAGTTTGTTTATAAATAGAATCAATGCCAATAATTTGTTATCTCTCATGATTCATTAATATTAATCATTTCTTCTTACTAAATCGAATTCAAAATACATTGAGTGTGAGAGAGAACTAAATGGGGATCCCCTTTTGCCTTGACTTTGCTTGATAGTTTTATAAAAGTTATCGCCTTGAGTTCCGATATGTAATATTTATACAACTCGGTTTTCCTCTTTGCTCATTATTACGAAAAAAAGTTATTAAAAAAAAAAAAACAGTTTTACGCAAAAAATAGAAGCAACTTTAATCAGAAGTTCTTCCCAACAATATAATTAGTTACTCTAATCTTACTCATGATAAAATTAATCAGTTATGCTATGGTTTTTTTTTTATTGAAAGCTTAAATAATAATTTATGAAATATTTGTAATTATTTACAATGAATAATGATTAACTATCAATTGATATTTAATAATTACTACAAATGTGTAGATTAATATCAACTGTGAAACAGACATTAAATTCATATTTATATTAATTTATATTTAAATAGATGAATTCATGACTATATATTTTAATAAATAATAATAAAAATTATTCATTACACTAAAAAAACAATTTTTATCTCAAGTGAATCATTTATTTGTATTTAAATTTTTTATACATATACACGTTTTATTTTAGTTGCTTGTAAGTAAAACCGGTAATAATTATTTCAACTTGAACAGTGTTTTAAGTTTAACAGAATTGTATTTCTATTTTATTATCTTTATTTCTATATATTTTATGAATGTTTCTTTGTTGGAGGGAACGGCAAGTATTAATATTATTAATTATTTTTATCAACCGAATATCGTATATCGTAGAAATTAAATTTTTAACGCCAAGCGGTCAAGTTACTAGTAGATCGCTTTTAATTCAAGCCAACGGATGGACATTTAACTCGAACAGATACCACATAAGCTTCCAGCTTCTCTAGTATTCAAGTTCGATAAGCCCCCATCGATCGTATGCGAAGAGAGAATAAAATTCTCGACCAATAGCGAAGATGGAATGTCCATCCGTTGGCTTGAATTAAAAGATCTACTAGTAACTTGACCGCTTGGCGTTAAAAATTTAATTTCTACGATTAATATTATTATTCTTATTTTTTTAAAAAGATTTATAATTATGGTGATGTTATCAAATACATTGAGCGATGATTTTTGTTATTAAAAAATAATAAAGATAATTTTTTGAATCAATATTAAATTACTAAAAATGATACCTTAATTTTCCCAATAGATTTTACAAATTTTTCATGTAAAAATATTGTCTGTACGCTATATTTTTGTTTAAAAAAACAAATATCAGATGATTTTAGTGAATTAATGACGATTTCTAAGCGATAACAATTTTATTTTTATATGAGTCGAAGAATTTTAGTTTTTCTATTGATGAATTTTATTTTAATTATTAATTATTAAATATTTTTAAGTAATGGACAGGTTTATTGTCTATGTATGTATTCATTGAACAAGATTTATTTCCCAACTCTATTTATTTCAATATTAATCTAGCCACTCTCTTTAAGAGTAAACTTCTTTTTATCTACATATTGCAAAATTTATGTTTCTTTTTTCTCGTCTAAGCTTGAGACTTCTTAGGACATTTTTAACATTTAATTTTTTAACGTCTGATTAATTATCAGAGACCGTCGATTGCTTTTTTGGTACAAAAATTTATTTTCAAAATTTAATTTAACAAAATTCTATTTTTTAACTAATAATCACATTTTTTTCATTCATAAATAAAAACTTGAAAATTGCTAATTTGCAATTATACAAACGAATAATTGAAATTAAACATTTATAATTAAAATTCTAATAAAGATAAATGCTTATATTAAACAAAGAAAAAGTATTAACAAATTTAATAAAATTTAATGAAATCATAATAATAAAAGTAATGAAATTTAATAAAATAATAATTTTTTTATGTGCGTATCAATTTTTTTTTTATTTTATAGAAAAAAATTTTATTGCTGAAAATCATTATTGTATAAATTACAAACACGTTAATTATCATTAAGATCTTTTAAAATGGATCAATTTATATATTAATTAATTAATGCAAGTTACTCAGTACTAAATATTGAAACTATAGTAATAAACTACAGCATAATTGGTGTTAACTGTTTACAATTTGGAAGTCTATTAATTGCTCATACGTCCTATAGATTTTAGTTATAAATCATACAATATATTTCTTATTTTCACTATTTATTATATTTAGTTTGTATTACCGGGTTTTATTTTAAAGTTTTAAATATTTAATTGCTCCAGCAATATTATTTTCAAATATTCAACAATGTACCAGCTTATCATCTAACATGGCAATAAAACATTATCGGTCCTTTCTTCTTTTACCAACACTCAATAGTCATTGTCATTATTTTTTTTTTTTTTTCGGTAAAAAATACTTATTACAATTCATTAAACAACAAAACAAACTAATTTAATATCCAATTTATAAAACTTAATTATTATGTAAATACCTTTTTATATCTACAATAAAATTCTAATAAAAAATATACATTAATTTATGTACAATAAATAAATAGCCTCTAAATTAATAATTAGGAATAAAACAATTGATATAATTAGGTATAAAAAAAAGTTTAATAATAAAATACTGTACTGGCTAATTCAGTCGAATTTACGAACAACAAAATTGTCTTAATAGTTGATGTTAAAAATGTAAATAATAATAAATTTTACAATCTAATTCACAATTTCAATTATTTGCCATTTAATTAGCCCATTAAGCTCTTATTTATTATATTAAAAATTGATATACTTAAGCATTGTAATAAATAAAACAATATCAACTGATAATATTTGATTAAAATTGCTCTTGGCATAACTAAAGAAAGATAAACTGTTTCGATTGCACATAATCAATCTAACATATTAATTTTTTAATGTTATATTATAATTTAATATGTTAAATGAAATTATATGTAAAAAAAGTCTAGCGGTGTGTAATAATTATTGTTAACACACTAAATAATACACTGTATGTATACATTGAGTATTACATACGATGTATTACTTAGTGTGTTAAACGCCGATTTCATATAACTTCTTGACTATTGTTAACTGATTGAGAGCTGCGCGATGTTTTACGACTTACTGGCTCTAAGTAAGCCGCTGGCGCCCAGCCTTCAATCCCAGTACCAATTAATTTAACAAACCACCAACCAGCACAGCCAACTTTTAATAATTCCAAGTGATCCCCTTCTCGCATCGTTACTTCTGCTGGACCGACAGCACAGTAATCAGCCAGCGCTACGTATCTTCCACCCTACAACAATTATTTGCATTCTTAAATAAATAAATAAATTCTCTCTTTTTTTTTCTCAACTGATTTCAAATACACTGAGAGAAAAAATTTCTTTTAAAAAAAAATGGGTACTCTTGTGACAAGAAATTAATTCTTTGGAAATTTTCACCAATTTTATTTCTTAGCTAAAGAAATAAAAATTTTTCTCACAGTAATTTTCTCGCTGGAGAAAAGTTTGCTAAATTAAAAAAAAAAAAAAACAATTTTAGATAAACAACTTGAGAATTTTCATCCAAAAATTTTTTTTCCCAAATTAAGAAAACTTTTTTTCTACAAGAAAATTACTGTAAGAAGAATTTTGATTTTTTCAGCTAAGAAAGTAAATTGTTGAAAATTTCCAACAAATTTATATGATACTAAAGTTAGCCGACATTTTTAATTTTTTGATTTTGCTTCATTTATTAAATTAAAACTAAAAAAATTTTTTTTTAGAATTGCACTTTAAGTTTTTGAAATTTTCTTACAAATGAATTTTTTTTTTTAATTATTTTGTGATAAATTTTTCAATAAAAAAAATTATAAAAATTTTCAGATGTCGTTTAACTTTATTTTCATAAAATTTATTTCTTGTCACAAAAATGTTCATTTTCTTCAAAAGAAATTTTTTCTTTCAGTGTACAGGAAAAATTGAATTTAAAGCATAAATTTTTTTCCTGTATGTGAAATTTATTGGTGATAAAAAATAAGGAAATAAATTTACTGGAGCTGGTCCTGGATTTTCAGAGAAAGCATCTTCGTCATCGGTGTTACTATTTTCTGAACTCCAAGCAACATCTTCTTCCGTTGATTGTGATACATCGGTAACATGTGATATTACACTATTACCATCAACGGAGAGTGTACGCAGTGATCCGGAAACACTATGCGTTTCCCATGATATTGTTTGTCGTAATGGTCTATAGAATTTTTAGTAATTAATTAGTTGGTAATTATTTACTTTCGCTGCCGACAGCCGATAGTTACAATTAATTCAAACAATACGTACTTATGATTAGATTTAGCTAACGCCGTACTCTGTTTTCCTTTTAACTCTGCAAGCTGCGACATTAAAACACCTTTTATCTGGCGTACCCACGATTGCTTAACTTCGTTACTCGGTGCTTGTATCGTGTGAACTTCAGCACGACCTTGTAACCAGATTTCGAATCTTCTCGTATCGCCTTTGACGGATTCAGTTAAACCGATCTGTGACATCTATAACATAATTATTACTATTAGTTTTTTTTTATATCATTATTTCTTCAATTTGAAATACAAAACAATCCAAATTGTCAGAGTATTTATTGACAGTGCCAAATTCTCTATGTTGATGTAATATTTATTCAACAATGTTTTCAAAGTATTTAGGACATTTTTGAAATATTCATAACATTCTCGTAAGTTCTACAACTATCAGAATCGCTCTAGAATTTCTGAAACTTTAATTTTTTTTTTTTAGAAAATATGAACTTTTTTAGCGAAGCAATAAAATATTTCTTGACTTGAAAGATTTCTTCCGGATAAAAATGTACATTCTTTTATCAAGAATTTATTGATTTAAAAAATTGTTATCTATTTAATAAAGAGAATAAGAAAAATTTTGTAGAATAAGGAAAATTAAATTTAACATCATTGGAACGATCTTGGCCAGAATTTGTACCTTTTAAATGTTTCCTATACCTTTCAGTAATAGTTAATTAATTATGATAAATGATAAGTCTTCAAAATAATTCTAAATAGATTCGAATTTTGCGATAAACATAATTTATTTATTTATGGTAATAGGTCAAAAATAAATTTATATAATTAAAAGCCTAGGAAAAATTTTGTAACAGGTATATCTTGATCGTAAATTGGGTTTGATATTTTTTCAGTAATAGTCATTTATGATTTAAATGATTTAAATGATTGAAAGAGTAAAGAAAATTGTGAGAAAAGAAAAAAGCTCTGGATATAAATTTATGCCTTTTCACGGTTTTATATATTTTTCAGTGTAATGATTCAGTCAATTTTTTATGTTAAGTTTTGAATAGTTTTTTGGTTCTATAAATTTTTTCCCTCCCAATTTTCCATAAAATTTTTTATAATTGATCCTGTCATAGCATTATTATTTTTCAAATTTATTTCAAAAGTACCCAAGCTATGTATAATGTAATTAGAAATATCAAAAAATCATCAAGCCAGAGTTTTCTTATTCATAACTCTTAAATCTTGGCAGTTACATAAAAACTGCAGGTTGCTGGTAAAGACTTATAATGATAATTATTGCTAAATTTTAATCAAACTCACTTTGAGAAATCGTTTGAAGTGATAAGTCGCTTTATTGTGAGCTTGAGGCTTGCTGTGTTTGCAAAATATCATAGCTTTTTCATAAAGGAAAATATGGCGCTGAGATGGTTTCAATCGTAATAATCGCTCACGCTTACTACTACTCCAAACGCTGAATGATCCTTGCAATAAGAGTTCACCTTGAGCAGTTAAATCTCCCTATGAATTAAAAAAAAAAAAAAAAAAAAACAATGATATTAATCATGATTATTCACGTAAAATAATAGTCATAGTAAATTGAAGACTTACTCCAAATCCAGTGATAGCAGTTTGATGCATACTATCATTAACGCATTTCAAAACAACGAGCATACAATCCAAAGCCTCTTGTAATTCTGTACAACAAGCCGGTTCATCGCTGTACTTGAGTAAATCTTTTAATAATAATTGATACTTTGTAATACGCTGTACAGGCTTAAGCAGATAAGCAGCCAACGGTAATTTATGGCCTAGTTTTTGCTGACAAGCTGCTAAAAATTGCGGCTCTCCTTGTATTTGTTCTCTCAGTCTCTCAGATCTCGTGATGTTCTGACAATAATAGCTGTATAAACGGAAAAATATATCTCGTCGCTGTACAAAACACAGCGCGACTAGCTCTGTATTTGATATACAATTTTCTAAGTCACGTAAAAACGTTTCGCCGTGAAAGAGATAAATTTCTTCGAGATTCCCGAATAGTACGTCGGATTTTCCTACTAATGCACTCGGTATTAAGTGGCTCATTGTTTCATTAGTCATTTCCATCATATATCCCTTTATAATCGATCCAAGTTCTGCTACATAAGCACGTTCAGTTTCAACAAGTTCTGTTAATACATGACCGCGTTTGAGTCGCGTTGCTTCGACATCTCTTGGTTCACTTTCTGGCGATGATGAGTCACCTTCTATTGGACCCATTTCCATCTGTAAATAAGTAATCCATTTAGTAATTAGTTTTATAACTCGGTAGAAAATTTTGTACAAGGGTTTTCAATAATAAATTACTTCTAATGGCATGAGCTACTAATTTCTTATATTCAATGCAGAATAATTCTATCAGCTTAAACATTTTTATTTTATGACAATGTTAAGTCCTTATTGAATCTCTAACTGATTAACCGATAAAGTTTAATAAATTACTTTTTGCCTTTTTTAAAAGTAAGTAGTTTCAATAAGATGCTTTTAAAAGTAAAAAAAAATCAATCGATTCAATCCCTTTATAAATTCTTCACTGTATAAAATTTCCGGTTCATAATAAGAAATCGATAATAAAAATAAATGAAATTTGTTATCATATACCTTTGGCATTGTATTAGCTTTTTTTAAAACTCTTCCTGGTTTTATGATTTGTGGTGATGCTTGAAGTGGTTTTGCTGGCTCTGGTGTAACCGTTTGAACCGGTCTCGCTGGTTTTATCAACTGTTGTTTTAAAACAATTATTTTTTTTTCGCACATCAATGTCACATCTTCGATTCGTTGTAAGACCTGAGTAAAAAATTATTATTTTATGTTTAATCTTTTAAATGAAAAAATATGTATGCAGCTTAATTTAAACCTAACAGTACCCTTGTTTATTTCACAGAACTTCGATCAACTTTTTACTAACCGCTTTTAAATAAAAATTTTAGAATTATATTTTATAATATAAATTTGGATTAAAACAATACTCAATAATTTTTAACCTACACAGAAAGAACAAGATGACACTGGATGTCATCCCAGATTATACTCAGTAATATCTGTGATGAAAAAAAATTTCAGATTGTAGCTAAAAAAAAATCCAGATTATACTGTGTGATATCTGGATTATACTAGTTACTATCTAAAAAAATTTTTCACTCAGTATAATCTGGGATGATATCCAGTGTCATCTTGTTCATTCCGTGTACATAGCGATAAAAAAATTGGTAATAAAATAAACTTAAATTTTTTTATCAAATCTTATGTTATTATGAGAAATAAAAAAAAAATATATATTTTTCATACTGAAACTTATTTTAAAAAGCTAAAAGTAATAATATGACAATAAATAAAAGTATAATTACAATACCTTAGTTTTAAAATAAAACTATTTTAATTAAGAGCATGTTAAATCTAACTGTAGCTCTTATTCGATTCATGACACTTAAAAGGCTTAATTTGAAGCCCCATTTTTCGATATATCTATTTTCACAAAGGGTATTCAATGACTCTAAAGTAATATAACAAGACAAAAGAACTAAAGAGTTAAAAAAAAACTCGCATTTCATTCACTTTTTTATTGATTAAAACCTAATCATTTAAACGTTCTCTATTCTAGTTTACTTTATAGTAAAAATTTTATCGTTTATTTATCAACAATAATAATAATTTACCTGTGCAACTAATGCTTTAGTTTCTGGCATAATCGAGTCTTGAAAAATACATCGTGGACTGTGAAACTCTTCAGCAGCTTCAATAAGCTGTTCTAGTTCCTGAAGAGCTTGATCTGTTGGTAATGTACTGTTTTGCGACGCAAGAAGTTCTATTCCTCGAGTACACCAAGCATTAGCCTAAGAATTAATTTTTTTATTTAATACAACACATCTATAAGCAATAAATAATTGAACAATATTATATACCTTGTCAATGCGTTCCATAAGTTCGCGGCATTTAGTGAGCGTGTGTAATCGCCTCTCCAATCTTTGGCTGAGAATCGTGCAAACACGTTGCAATTCAGCACATTTTGGCTCAACGACTTCTGTTGGGCATTGATGTCTTCCTGATAATAACTGTTGTCCCGCAGCGATAACTTCCTCAGCACGATCAATATCACCCTGTACATAAATTTTTTCAATTAATTAAATTTAAAAGCAAATTTTTTGTTAAAACATTATTTAAATAAATTATTCTACGGACATAACATAATTAAGCATTTTTTTTTTTTAAGAAATAAAAATAGTGAGCATGTCCATGCAATTATGCAATTATCATGCCGTCTAACTGTTTGTTTATTAAAAAAAAAAAAAAAAAAGTAATAATTGTCACTGATAATTAGTCTAAATAATTATTGCATTTATTATCTTCGAATGTAATTACGAGCAAAAACAAAAGTAATAATTTTACGGTTTTGAATTCGTATCAGCAAAATAAGTTATAGAAATTATTTATTTAAAAAATGTTTATATAATTGTTATAATTAATTATTGTAAGTAGAGATATTTATTAATCTGTTGAATTTTTGCTGCTTACCAAGACCCAAATCCACATGGTATGCAACAAATAGGACTATCGACAAAAATAAAAAGTGGAAAGCGGTGCAAAATACCATTTATGCTTGTGTGCATGGTGTTCATTTGAAATTTTTGATTTTTATCGCTAATTTATTTTAAAACATCAAAATCTAATTTTGTTAATTATTTATGATTCTGATGTTTAAAAATATTTGTGCATTTTAAAATAGTTGGTGCGCTTAACGAATATCATACGATTATTTTATCAAGTAATTAATAAATCTTATTTAATTATTAGTTGGTATTTATTATGAAGGAATTTTTTAAATCTTATATTAGAAAAGGTGTGTATAAAATAATAATTTTAAAATATCAACATACCCGGCATATTCGCTGGAAAGCAGATGTATCACGAATAAGTTGATCAACACGAACTTGGGTTTCTCCAACTTCGGTCATATCGTCGACGGTTTTCAGATGCTGATCCAGTGAAGACTGTAGCTCACGAAAATCTTGCTCAAATTGCCGGAGAGCTAGACAATGTCGTAAACGAGAACTGTGATGCGACCAAAAAAGATCGAATGTTCGTTCTGTTTCTTCTAGTTGCACTAACAACCTGTAATTTAAAAGTATATATTCAAATGAACAAAGTATTGATGAAGAAGAAATGTACAAAAAAAAAAAATGTTAACAAATAGAATTAATAGTTACCGTTCAACAGCGGCGACATTTCCTAATCGATCGGCAGTACTTTTGCCGGTCAATTGTCGTACACTATCTAAAAGTGCTTCACCATGCCGCGCTGCGCTCAAAATTTCCTCTTTCAGTTCATTATACTCGAGTTGCTGCTGATTCAATAACCGCGTTGTCGCTATTGTGTTATTGGGAAATTCAATTTCCGCTAAGCGACGAGTAAATGAATCTAAGGCAAGTGATACGTCTTGAGTCATGGATGAAAATTTTTCTAAACTCTGTTTTCAAAAAATAAATATCATTATTATTATTATTATTATTATTATTATTATTATTATTATTAAAAATAAATTATAAAGAGAAAGATAAATTATGGTCTGGAAGAAAACTTTATCTACTATTGATAATTTATTTAATATTTTAAAGACCCAAAAACATTAGCACATTAAATTCATGATAAGGTGACCCAGTTTTTCACATAAAAATTTTTTACGATCTTCAAATAACGACTTATAAAATAAAATTATATAATATAATTAAAACACTGCAGAATTTTTATAAAAAATAAAATATCGCAAAATCTTGATTTTTTAAGGATACATCTAAGCTTTTAAGTTTAAAAAAGTCTAGTAAATGCACCGGGGTATTGAAGTGACTTTTTAAAATGCTTAGAGGCACTACAACCGACTTCATCCATTTTCCAGTAGTTTTTAAACCCTCGTAACTTTTTTAAAGTCATTGAGAAAAAAATAAAATTCTGCGATAGAATATTTTTATATAAAAAGTAGGTAACTCCTCTACTTCCAGCAACCATAAATACTAAGCACACAATAGCTTTAAGAATTAATTAATGAACATACTATTCTATTTTGAATCCAGGTTGTATGGCAGTATGGTAAATCACCACCGAGCTGCTCTGTCAACTGATCTTTGTCAATAAAGTCATGGAGCTCTGTTACATTTGCCAGCACAATAACCCGAAATTTAAAGTCTTCACGGAAGAGTTTGTTTGAGACTTCAGAGATGGCTTTTTGAAGAAAACCAACTGGCCGTAGAACGTAGGCAACATGAACTAATCCTGGGAAAAATGCCTGAAATTATTCAATAAGATTGTGATTATAATGAAGGATTATCAAGTAAATAAGTCAATATGATAATAAACTCACGGAAATTTTAATGAGGACAGTTTTAACAGAGTTCCACTTGTCTGTACGACGATCGATAATCAAATGGAATCCCAAGTCAGCTTCTTGTAGACTAAATTTACAGTTTTACGATCAATATTATTATTATTATCATTATTATTGTTGATATACATTATTAACTAATGAAAAAATAAAACTAGGTAATCAAAAAGTAATATCTTACGTGGGAACTGAAGTGAGATAGAGCATTAAACGCTGATAATCTAAATCAGTAAGATTGTGAAAGTTTCCATTGTCAGGGAATGTAATTATAGGACATCCTTCTCTTGTTTTACCTCCTGGATAAAAAAAAAATCGTTTAAATGGACATTTGCATTTATTTGTTTTAACGTCCGTTTAACAGTCGTATTTACTGTCAATATAAATGGCAATTAATTTTACAGATTTTACTTTTGTACATAAAAAATATTTAAGTACCATGCAGCTGATAGTTATTGTTGCTTATAAATTTAAAAATAAACAGTGTTGTATGTATTGTATGATGATAATTGAAGAAGAAATAATTTGATAGTTGTATATTAATTGGAATATAGATCGAGACTGAAGTTAAATTCTTAATTTTTGCATCGGGAGAATATCGGGATTATATGCATTATATTTTCAGCGGGAGAAACCGGTTTTAACGGATTTTTATTAAAAAATTCCGAAGACGGTTGACATTTCACCGTAGTAATGAAGAGTGCTGCACTGCATTCACCTTCCATGTGATCGGATCATACAAGCCGCACTTAAATTCATTTAATTGAGTAAGGAGTGTGGTGGGCTTCATTATATCAAGCGTGTTTATTATTATACTGGTGCTCTTACCCGTAATAATAGCATATTGATGCTGAAGGAGATCTGCTACGTCCCGGACTGCCAAGTCGCCGTTTTCGATCTCTCCGGTCATACTCTCCACATCTTCTGTAACATAATTAATTTTATTGTTATTATGCTTTTTATATCATTTATTTAATTTTTTATTTGAATAATTTTTAATTTTCAAGCGAATATTTTATGAGTTAGCTTGAAAATTTGTCAGCAAATTTTGTGCAAAATAAATTTATTATGAAATAAATTTTGCTTAATTAGAAAAAATTTTCTTCAATTAAAATTACATTTTTTATTTTAATTATAATTATAATATATAGCACTTTTTTAAATTTTATGCAGAAAAATAATTAAAACTTCATATTTGAATTCAAAATATTTAAAAAATCAGAAAAAGAATTTTTCAATCCAAATTTAAATTGAAGAATAGTAAATTTTATTTAGAAAAAAAAAAACGATAGCTCAAATAAATCAGATAATTTCAATACCTACACTAAAAGAAAAAATTTATTTTTACCAAAACGAACGTTGCTGTGAAAAGAAATTAATTTGTTGGAAATTTTCAACAATATTATATCTTAGCTGAAGAAATTAAAATTCTTTCCATATGAAATTTCTTGTTGAAGAAAAATTTTTTTGATTTGAAAAAAAATTATTTTAGATAATTTGCAAATTTTCATCCAAAATTGTATTTTTCAAAACTTTTTTCCAACAATAAAGTTACTGTGAGAAAAATATTGATTTCTTCAGCTAAGAAATAAAATTGTTAATAATTTTTAACAAATTTATTTCTTATTAAAACATTTCTCATTTTTTTCGGAAAAAATTTTTTTTCTCAGAGTACAATAATACACCAAACCTTAATTTATTAAAATGATATAAATTTTATAATTATATTATTAATGTGATGAACCTAATCCTATCAGATTTATATTACTTATATTTCTTCATATTATTTACAATATAAAAGTCATAAATTCACTTTAAACAATCTTAATTAATAAATATATAGTTAAGAAGAACAATTTTTTAACTTTGCCAAAGACGACTTCGTTTTTCCGAACAAAATTAGTTCAAGTAAACTTTTATTTCTGGGTACATATCAGAAGAAGACAACATGAATATTTATATATGTAACACAGTCGCATTTACATAAATATTTCAAACTGATTTTCTCTCATTTACAATGCTCTTTTTTCTGTGAAGTAAACCCGTCATATTCTAACGTCATCTAATAACTAAAAATGCTGCTCACAAAAGAATTTTAAGTAGACTTTAAAACAAAAAATTTCTCATAAAAAATAAAATCACATTTTTTAACTGTGTTTCTATTTACAAAAATTTAAATATAAATAAATGAATAATTTAAAATAAAAAAGAACTGTATCATTTACAGTTTTTTTGTATTACTATTCTTTCTCACGATATTAAAACTCGTCACTTAAATAATTTTCATCTGTTTCAACCTGCAATTAAATTTTTTATAATTTACAAAAATTATTGTAAACTAAAATCACAGTTAATGTAAAAAATGAAAACTAAAAAGTTGTGAATTATTTGATTGTTGTGAAAAAATATAAACAATTAAAAACAATTGATATTATAACAATAAAAATATAAATATTTATAATTTACCTTATATAGTAAACAGGTCTTCATTTAAACAAAATACAATATTCTTCCTATTGTATTGTGTGTATACAATATATTTTATACTATGTGACATATGATAAAATCAGTTGCATTATAAATAATAACAATTAAACTTTAAGATAAGAGAAAACATAAATAAAAGTAAACCATAACTTTATTATTCAAAATATAACGACAATGCAAAAACTCGTACGTAGTATTTAATAGAAACGTATGACGATAAATCAACATCATCAGCAGTCAGAGACTACTATCGTTCTCATTGAATTTTACACGTGTATGAGCGCTATAACGTGAACTCTCCCGCAGTGAACTGGTAGTAAAAGGCCTCTGGCCCCGCGAGGATGCACTCGAATGACCTTCTCTTGATTCTTCTTTTCCCCATCTAAAATAGTTTCCAGCTTTATCCACAATATCACTGATATAACTGTAAACCAACGTGGCTCTCAATATATATAGAAGAATACTATCTAATAATTTACTTAAACTGTTACTTCATTGGCTGGCTACTTATACTACTCCAAAAAAATCAATCCTCTTAATCCGCTTGTCACTTCAAGTAGAATAAAATTTCAAGAAAAAAACAATAACTTCTTTAAATCTTTATTTATTTTTACTAACGATTTAAATAACGGAGGTCTTGACCCACCGTACTGTGATTTTTATTTTGTTTTTTTTTTTTTTTTTTTTTTTTTTTTTTTTTCATGATCAAATTTCATGTTTTTCCAGTTTTAATATTTTTTTTATGTAGAATTTTTTAATGAATTTGAATCAATTTTTTTTTTTGAGTTTTTGAAACAATTGGAACTAATTTAATTTTATTTTTCAAAAAAATGAAGCTACAGAAATTATAAGTAAGTGTCAAATGACAATATCATCACTGTCGATGACTTTTGCACCGTGCAAAATTTTAAATTTGCCACTTTTATAAAAGCTCATTGAAATAAAAAAAAAAAAATAATCATAAAAAATGAGAAACTCTGGTTTAATTCAACCACTTAAGTTAATCTGTCTGGAAGTTACATTAAATAAATATGAGAATATATATTTCTTTATAAATGCGTGAGGTGTCTGACCCTGCACATTACAAACATTAAGACTGAACATACTGTAAGTACTGTAATTCCTAATTATCCAACGGATAATTTACTTCGTACAGCTCATAAAAAAATAAAAATACTCTCCTATTAATTTATGTTATTAATATTTAATATATATTTAACTCAAGTACTTAATTATAAATTACAAAATATTAGTCATATATTTTAATTAAAAAAAAAAATTATTAACTACAATAAAGACAAACATATGATTGAATCATAATGACCAGAATTAATGTTGCGATAAAAAACAATTTTACACAGAATTAATATTAGCAACAGTTATTGGAAGCCCAGATCTATTTATCAATAAACCAGTACTCGTTAATTGATAACTTAACTCTCCGTGTAATTTATGAGTTGGCGTTATAAAATATGCATTGCTATCATTATAGTGTTCAATATCATTTGTGGCAATAACAATTGGTATCATATCTGCATTTTCGGTGATAAAATGTAACGATTCTGTTGCTTCTGGTTCGGTTTCCGTTTCTGTGATTTCAGCCTCTACCTCTACTCCCATTCGTCTGTTATCATTAATGCTCGCAGCAGCAACAGATGACTGATTTTGCTGCGGCCTTATGACAAATTCGAGTTTTGCAAATTTAATATGAGGAAATTGTACTTTCATAAATCTTCGAAATGTTGAGTAGCCCATAACTTTTATAGTCGGTGACAATTTTTTGCAGTAATCTTTGTATAAATCATGCACCGTTTTCCGAGTTATCTCTGCGGGTAAATGGATCGCAGTTGAATTTTTAATTGACGTTTTTATAGCCTTTTGATTTATTTCCTGCTCTTTGATGAACGACTTCAGAAATTCGGTGGCTATCTGGTAAATGTCCAATGAAAATGTGTTGTGGGGAATTTTTCCATGGTTACCATGCACGCGAGGTGTTACACCGTGGGTCACCAAATGCTTCCTGATCCGTTTTATTTGATAGTGCGTGCAATTTTCGAGGTAGAGAAATGCATCAAGGCAAACGCGACGGCCTTGATAAACATACTGAGCACGTAATCGGCGACGCTCGGTGTGACGCGCTGTTTGATTTGGGTTCGCTAAACATGCCATTGTCACACCCATTAAATACATATCGTGCTCAGCTTTTGTTAACTCGGCGATATTCAGACGATGACGATACACTGCCTCGGGATTTAATCCCTTAAAACACTGATCATCTTGACACTCACACCCACGTTTAAAACGCTGCAATACTTGCGCTACGTTGTCTTCAAGTTTTGTTGATTCATACTTTGATTCTTTTACTACTTTTGATTTTTTCTGTTTTAATACTGGGGCCATTGATTCCTCTGCTAATTCAACAGCTTCTTCATCACTTGCTTCTGCCTGTAAATAAATTTTCATTAATCATACTTTGGTTTAAAAAATTTTTTTAATTTAATAATATATTTTTCTTTTTGATTTTCTTCAGGCATCGCCAAATAAACCTATCTGTGTATAATATTCGAGCCAAAAGTTTCAGATTTAAAAAATTTATAATTAATATCTTATAATTTAAAGAATGTACTGATTGTTGTATAATGCCGATTGGCGTCAAATGAATAAATAAATAAATAAATAAATAAATATATTTCAAACTATTTAGTCATGGTAATATGAAAATGGCCTTTACTTTGTAAACAAGTGTTTTGCCTCTAATTTTTATTAACTCGTTATCAGCAAACGGTGTCATTTACAGATAACATTTTTTTTTTAATAAGTTTAGAGTTGTTATGCAATTATCAATTAGAATAAAAAATTATATGTTGCTTGGGATATCTTGAATTAGATCATATTTTTTTTTTCAAATTTATTTTCTTTTTTACTTTTACGTACAAAACTTTATAATTTATTGTGGCAAAAAAATTAGAATTTAATTTCAAATTACAAAGAGTTTTAGTATTCACTAAAATATAGATCAAGATTTAAATATTTTTTTAATATCCGGGAGCGGATTAAAAATAAAAAATGTTCCATCACAACTTATTGATTTTTACAAAAAAAAAAAGGTGAGATTCAACTTCAATTTCCTGCTGGAATTTCATAGATATTTTTAAATATTAAAAACTTCATAATATATTAAAAAACAATTGAAGTAAAGTTCTTACTCCAAATTAATTTTTAAATAATAAATATAATCATAATTAACTAATATCAATAATAATTTAACATTAATACTTTTTTTTTGACAGAAATAAATTAACTTAAACTAAAAATTATTCATGATTCATGATACACGTACAAAGCTTTTATGTTTAAATTACGGTTTATATGCTTAATGCATGTAAAGTGTTATTTAATTTTCTCAAAACTGAGGGTCAATTACTGCTTACTCCGGGTGAGTAAACCCAACATAAGCATTATTAGAAATAGTAAATTAAACATGCGAGTTTATGCGCACAACTTTCCAGGATTTGTATAGTTCCAATAAAAGTAAAAATATATAATTCTTGTGATTATTTATTAAGCTTAATAATTATTTAATAATATAAATTAGTATAATCTCTAATACTGCTATTTCTTTACCAAATAGACTATAAAATTCTTAACAAAAGTTTTACCAATAGTTACGATTAAACGTCAAAATTAAAAATATTATTAATTTATGTTACTAATTACTTTTCTAACTTCCTTCAGAGTATCGAAATTCAATTAACTTATTAATTATAAAGTTTATTAAATTGTAACTTATTTAACAACTATGGATTTATTTAATTTACCAATATTTATTCGACTAAAATGTTTTTTTATCCTCTAAAGATTTTTAACTAGGTCATTTATTGTTCGGTAGTTTAAAAATAAATCTTATTTCACATCAATTTTTGAAATTAAATTAACAATTGTTATCTTGACAGTTAAAAATTTATTTCTGCTCAATAAAATAAAAAATAATTATCAAAATAATTGAAGCAACTTCTAAAAATTATTTATGATTTATTTTTCTGATAAAAAGTGGTTATTGTTAACAATAAAATGTAGTAAAGTAAAATTACTTTAAAAATAGCAAAAATTAAAATATTTATCATTTTTTTATAATTATTCTAAAGTAAATTGAAATGAAAAAAAAATCATTTTATGTTCGCTATTTAATACCCATGCATAAATGAATTTACCAATTTGATCGAGTTAATTTAATGGACCAGTAATTAATTAAATTTTAATATCAGAAGTCAATTAAATTGAACTTAAAATAATCCACTCAATAATCAATTAAAATTACCATAGCTTCACGATGATCATTTCTATCAACTCCAAGTTTTTTATTATTCTCCTCTTTTTTAATCCCAGCAGATTGTTTACGCTCCATTGTTGATAAATAAAAAAAAAACTAACCTGAAAAAAATAAAGTTTAAATATTGAAAAATCCATAAATAATTCACTTTGAAAAGTTTGTTTATAAAATATTCATCGTATGTAACTTCGAAAGTAAAATTAAATATTTTATAAACAAAAGGTCGAAAGTCGCTGGCACGTTTCTAGCCCAACAATTTTGGTCTTAACAGAACACTGACTACACAATCTTTACTTACCTTTTTTAAAGTTTTCACGGGGAGATTTATTTCTGTTATTTTTTTATGTTGAGGCTCGAATCATCAAGTCCACAATTCTATAATTATTATGTAATATAATAGTGTTGCTTTATTTAAAAAAACTTTAAGAAATAACGAAACACGAGACACGATATGGCGATCGCCTCTTGCTACTATTTCCGTAGTGGGGATTCCAGGGCTGTATCACGCTCCGATTTCTAAATTATTTTTTACTTTTTATTATTAATTTTCTATAAGTAATTTCTATTCATTCCTATTTTCAAATTAAAAAAAAAAATAACAAAATTCACTTGTTAAAAAAAAAAGTGACCTCAATTTTTTTTTAACTAAAAAAACTAGTATATTTTAACTAGTATATTTTAACTAAATAAACTAGTATATATGAAGAAACAAATTTTTCAGCCGTATTGATTATTTAAACCGTCAAAGATACGATCCTGGCCTAAGCCGCGGCAGTTGCGCACTGACGCCGAAGATTTAGAGACCACATGTGCAGAAGTAAACACGCTAGGAGAGAAAACCGCAAAAAATATTTTTAAATATTCATTTGCGCTCAAAAAAACTTTAAGTTAAAACCAGCAAATCATCGCGGTGATTTATTATTAGATGAAAAAAAAAAAAAACCGCGTTTAGTTTACGTAACAAAAGAGACTTATTAATAACAACTATGAATAATTAAAACTGACCTTTGAATAAAACAACAGGAGAGGACAATGAACGACAAAATCAATATCACTCAATACAAACTTCTCGCAGTATCTTTCTAACTAAAAATTCTTTAACAAAATCTGATAAAAAAAAATTTATTAAAAATTAAAAAAGTCAATAAATAATATAAAAAATTTTTATATCTGATAATTGCTTTCAAACCTGGACATTTGGTTGTACAATGATGATGACACGGACAGTTGCAAGTATGATGTTTATGCCGTAAAGTATTGCTTGAATTAGAGTTCAACATTATTATTTTTCACTACACTATATATTGTATTATTTATAGAAAATATTCTAAATTTTTAATGAAAAAATATTTTTTTATTTTTAGGAAACATCAAATTTTAGATCGATAGAATGTTTTACGATCCACCGGCATTTCACCCCTGCGCACTTTGATAAAATCGAACGGTCTATGTACAACTCATATATATGTATAGTAATGTCGAATATAGTAACACTATTTTTAATATAAAGTAAGTATGTACTCAAGTTGAATGACAATAAAGCGTACAGTAGTTACAGGTTTGGTTTACTTAGACTACTATCAAACACTGTGGCACTTGAATATATTTACCGCCTATGTGGTAAGATATTAAGCGAGATAGAAAATATGAGTATAAATGTATGTATGTATACAGCGAATTGAGGGGATTCCAAGTTTGGAGTAGGGACAAGTGCAAATGTTAACAACCAATCGTGTACGTTTAATATTCTATGAGTGGGAGCAAAATTGCACGTGACTTAGCAGCACGTTTTGCGGTAACTCCTATTTCCTATTATTTAAAAAAAAAAAAAAGCCTATTAGGAATTGTAAAGATAACTAGACGTTACATGTGTGATTGTCTGATTGTTATCGGATTGTTTATTTGGTTATTTTAGCGATAGCATTTACCGCAAAGTATGTTTGCGGTCTGAGATGAGACGGTGATAGGATATAAGATAGTTCTGAAATATTTATGGGGTATGTTGTATAAGTATGTAACAGTCAATTGAACGATGTACGGCTTTTTGTGCTCTACATACGTCATGTAATGAATATTCAGTTTATGTATATGTCTTCTGCGTGCTCTTCCAAGCGTTATAATTATACGTTATTAATTAAACGTATCTTTTATACCAAAATATTTTTTCTTTAGACAAGTTTATCGCTACTTTAGATTTTTATTCAAGGATGATATACTTCACTTTTTTTTATTTTTTTATTTATTACTTGGTGTAATTGCTTGGTAAATCGAATGAAAAGTTTTACATGTTACTTATTGTAATTTTTTTATTTTTATTTAGTGGAGGTTAATTGCTGAGAATAATGACTTGATATTTTTTTCTTGTTGGTAAAGAAATTAATTGGTGGATGAATATGGAAAATTTCAGTTGACGAATTTTATTATTGAAGTAATAGCCGTGATTCAGCTTATTTTAAGTAAAATTATTCAATTTCATTTTTTAAATTAATTATAAGATATTTAACAAATTTTTTAATTTATGTTAAACTATTTTTTTTTTTTAATTCTATAAAAACAAAATTAATTAATAATAAAACTTTTAGTACAATTTATTTATTATTTATTAGATTTGTCGTTATAAAATTGAAGAAAAAATTGAGAATAATATATAGAATTTTTTGTTTTTTTAATAAATTAAATAATTATGATAACAACGTTTATTAAAATTTTTTTTTTAATATTTTCTATAAAACAAATTTGCATAAAAATTTAATAAAATTATAGTTTGGAATTTTTTAATTATTTTAAAAAAATATCAGCTGAAATATATCAAGCTTTACACACCAAAGAATTAATAATGATCAGGAAAGTTAGAAATATATAAATTTAAAAAGTTAATAATCATACAATTTAAAAAATCTAAAGCATTAATTGAATAAAGAGAAAACATTTCATCAATATCTATATTATAATTTTTTTTCTGCAAGAGTAGTTACAGTTGTCAAAAGAAACTTGCGCATTATTGGACCGCAAAGTTTACGTATCCCTCCCAAATGAAAATGCGTCAAAGGCGTTGTTCTGAACAATAAAATACCCTTCAGGTTCTAAAAAGTAATTAAAATCAAAATTAAAAACACGCGACTTATTCCTCTCAAGCATAAGACTTGTTTCAGATAAATAAAACCTGTAATTGAAGTAAAGAGATATGAAAATTAAGTTAGCCGAGATTTAAAAATTTTTATAATAATAATAATAATGGAGGTTTTACTTGTATCATTTGGGCAGTGTTTTACAAGGTAAAAATTTTTTATAATTTTTTTTTATTGAGAAAATTATTAAAAAAAAAATTCCATTTGTAAAAAACTTTAAGTGCAATTTTTAAAAAAATATATTTTTGGTCCAATTTAATAAATAAAAAAAATTAGAAACGTCGGCTAACTTTAGTGTTATTAAAGAAATATGTAATACAACTCCTCGTGGTTAATATAATTGGAGTTAATGAATGCAAAGTTAATGCCAGATGCAAGTACTTAAAGACATTATAAAAAATCATCGAACCGTTTCGGAGTAAGCTTACCGGCCTCCAAGACCTCGAGGTCGAGGTTACCACTTCTGCTGCGACTGATGCTGCTGCTCGCGTTATAACTCCCTCTGGCGTTATCTTCCATTGCCCTGGAGGCGCTTCTCTTGAATTGCTCAAGGAAACTATCTATTTGATTTTCAATACTCGTCGGTGAATTGGCAATCATATCACACCCAGGTTAAGCGCACAAATAAGTATCAACTATTTACAATTTACAATTAAAATTATAATAACAATTAAATCTTGCCTAGTTAAATAATTAATAAACAATACTATTGCTTTGTACACCTATTTTTTATTACGCCGTTAATAATCATCGATATTAAATTATCCGATGACAATACCGGAAGATAACTACATTGTAACCAAATAATTAACTGATTTAACAAACACGCCTCTCATGTTATCAACAATAATCAATTATTGTAAATAATAACAAATAACACTCGAGTGATAGTGAGATCCATTTGATGTATGTACTACGTATATTTATTCCAGCACGTCATGTTTATTGTGACGGTACGTCAAAAGAACTGGAGACTAACTAAGGCCTTGCGACAGGTGTCGCCGATTGTTTTTATATTGCGCATGGTCATACACTGCATTTGCGCAATTTATTGTCCTTACTCTTACTCAATACAATTAATTATTACTGTAATAAATATTAAATATGTCACTTGTAATAATAACTCTTTAAGTTTTACAAAAAAATATTTTAAAAATAATTATTTTTAAATTTAAATTGACAGATATTTTGGCGCGAATTTTTGAAAAGTTAAGATGTTTGCCGCCTGGCGCTATCCGCCGAACATCTGATGTTTTGGTATTTTAATATGGCGACTGTGACAGCTTGAGAGTGTATTTCACTACAAATATACAATCGTTTGATTGTTTATAACAATGTGGATTTATAAATAATACTTACAAAAATGCCGGTTGATATTAACCGACTGACGGAAGGGTGGTTGGAACTGGAAAGTGATCCAGGTATTGTTTGTTTGTTACTGTGAAAGGTTGTACTTTATTTACACTTAGCTCAATTTGTTTATTGATTCAAAGTTACTCAATTTTTTATTTTAATGTTTGGTATGAATGTTTTGCCATTTATTTGAATGAATATTTTATTATTGATTGAGTTTATTCGTAAAATTTATTAGTTGTTGTTTTTATAGGTTTATTTACGTTGTTACTCGAGGATTTTGGCGTCAAAGGAGTGCAAGTTGAAGAAATTTATGACTTACAAAAGTCATTAGAAGGTCCAGTTTATGGATTTATTTTTTTGTTCCGATGGATTGAAGAACGACGATCTCGTCGGAAGGTTGTAGAACAGGACGAGAGTTTTGTTAAAGACGAAGATGTTGTCAATAATATTTTTTTTGCGCAGCAGGTAAATAAAATTATTGTTAATTGTGGTTGTTCTGGCTAAATATTACAATCAACAATCGTAAGACCGTAAAAACAGGCCCTTCATATAATTAAATTTCATTTAAAAAATGAATTATTTTTTTAAAAAATAGCACATATAGTTTTTTACAATTTCTAGAAGTGGAATTTTTTTTTATTTTTTTTTTTTAAATCCTAAAAATGATTAAATGTCTCTTAATTTTAATATCATTAATAATGAGATGAGAGTATTGAAATTTTAATGATTTTTAAAATAGTTAACGTCAAAATGAAGACAAAATTCAAAAAATTAAAAAACCTTCGAGTTCATAGTTATGATACCGAAATTGAGAGATGAGATTAAAGTTAGCAGTCACTTGAGAATTTTTTAATCTTTTTTAACCAAAAAATTTAATGAAAATAAAGTTAGCCGACATTTCAAAATTTTTAGAAATTTTTTATTGAAAAAATTTCAATTAAACAATTAAAAAAAAAAATTTCACATGTAAAAAACTTGAAAAACTATAAGTGCATTTTTTTAGAAATATCTTTTTAGTTGTAATTTAATTAATAAAAAAAATCAAAAATGTTTAAACGTCTGCTAACTTCAGTGTCATAAAAATTTATTCCAAAAAATTATTTTAAAAAAATTCCATTTTTAATTTATTTAAAGTTCTACATGTCAATTTTTTAATAAATTTTGGTGCCATTATTTATTTGTTAAAAAAAATTCTAAAAATTATTAAATATCTGCTAAATTTATTTTCATAATTGAGAGGCATCTGATAATTTTTAGAATTTTCTTAATAAGTTATTTACAGCAAGCCAAATTTATTAGAAAAATTCCATATGTAAGAAAGAGATCTAAAAAATTATTAAAAATAATTTTCTTGATCTAATTTATTTTTCAAGAAAAATTAAAAAATTGTCAAGTGTCTGCTAATTTCAGTGTCATTAATATTTTCGAAAAATTTTTTAAAGTTGATTTAATTATAAAAAATTATTATTAAATGTCTACTTATTTGAATATATTTTAATTAAAATTTCTTGTAGTTTAATTTTGATAAATTTTCTTTTCATTTATTATTTATTATTTTTAAAATAAATGTTTTGTGATATTAATTTTTATTTAGTCTAAAAATTAAATTTCTTGTTTCAAATAATTTAATAATTATTCAAAATACTATTTCAGGTTGTACCGAACAGCTGCGCAACTCATGCATTATTATCCGTACTACTTAACTGTCCAAACATCCATTTAGGCACTACACTATCGCGTTTAAAAGTTCACACATCCGGAATGTGTCCAGAAAACAAAGGCTGGGCGATAGGCAACACACCAGAATTGGCTTGCGCGCATAATTCACATGCAATGCCACAAGCTAAGCGGCGACAGGATAAGAACACTGGTGTGTCAACGGGACGTTTCACTGGTGAGGCATTTCATTTTGTCAGTTATGTACCAATTAACGGCAGATTATTTGAATTGGATGGATTAAAACCTTACCCGATGGACCACGGACCTTGGAAAGAGCACGAAGAGTGGACTGAACAATTTCGACGAGTTATAACTGATCGTCTCGGAATATCTACTGGCGAACAATTGCAGGACATAAGATTTAATCTGATGGCCGTTGTGCCAGACCGTAGACTCGCGATCTCTCACAAACTGACAATGCTTAAAACGAACCGGCAAATAGTCGTCGAGGCGTTGCAGCAATTAGTCAAATTAAGTAACAGTAGTCATCATCATAATTCAAATGGGAGTCATCATCATAATCACAATAATCACAATCATCAGGAATTAGCAGTAGCTGAAAAAAATAATGATGACAAGAGTGATAAAAAGCTAAAAACAGAAGATGAATGCAAAAGTGAAATAAAACATGAGTCGGAAGCGATATTCAATGTACCTGCGGTTAATGTAGAACAGACAAATACGGATTTGCACTCTGATGTTAGTAGCGAAACAGCCAATACTAATAATGTTAAAACTGAGTCGAGTACTACCATTGAAAAAGTTGTAATGTGTGCTCTGGATTATGCAACGCCTCTGCGAATTCAAACATCACCGGCGCACAGTTCATCCAGCACAGACACTTCATCGGAAATTGGATCTGCTTTTAATTCACCAACGCAAGGTAACGGATATTATTTATTATTATTATTTGTTACTTGTTATTACTTTATTACATGTCAATATCTACTATTTGTTGATCTATCGTTAGGCCATCTTATGAGTCAATAATTTTATTTCCGATTCAAAGAACAATTACTCACTGATAATTAACGTAAACAGTGAGGTGAATAATTATCATATGATTGTAGGTAATTGGAGATTTAAAAAAACAATCAAACTATAATGTAAACTCTATTACAAACTTTTTAACAATACATTATTGATTAAATGTCATGAAAATTGTTATATATATTTTTTTTATCATTCATGAATTTTTATAACTTATACCAGACATTTTATGAAAATAATTAAATAATTGTTTGGATATAAGATATAAGCATGAAGCATCATAGAGAATAGTTAAATTTGTTAGAAAATAAAAATCAGTTGAAAAATATTTATGAATAAAATACATTAGATAAAATAAGCAAAACAGCAGCTGAGTAAAAAATTTCAGGCAAAAAAAAAAGTTTGCATTTAGAATAATAGTCAATTGTGAAAAACATTGTGGTATTACGGATATGTAAAAAATTTTTTTTTGTTCATACAATGACAATTGTTCATAAAAAAAAAAAAAAAAAAAAATACTCAGTCTCTTGAGTTTTGTTATGAAGAGTTTACACTGTATTAGTTTGTTACTATTTAAATATAGTCACGGTATTTTTTGTACGTTTTAAAGCTAGCTTATTATTCTAAAAATTTTTTAAACATTTACTATACATGTTAAGCTTTCAGGCTGACAAGTTACCAAAAAATTTAAATTTTCAAATTGAAAATCTAAACTCTTTGTAAATAAATATATAACAATATTATGAGTTGATCTGTACGGAGAATTGATGAAAGTAAAGTTAGTTCATTAAATAAAATTAGCTGTAATATGCATTTTACTAAATTAACGTATGGTTTCCCATTAGAAAGTTGTTGAGAAAAACAATAAGATGTTTTTTTTAAAAAGAGAATCTTTAAGTGCTTCTTTTATTACAGGAGATCATAAATTTAGCTTATTTTCGTAATTGAAAACTATCTACTTTCAAAAGATTGATGCAAAATACTTTCTAATTAAATAATTATTGTTAAGTAGTTTGGAATTATGCTTATAACGATTGTAGCTTATATTAAAGTAAAAAAAAAAAATATTGCCGATCGTGAACTCTCTTGGGAATTTACAATTATTTATTTATTTATTTATTTATTATATACAGAAAGTATACAATAATAAGAAGTTTATTGATTTAGAAATTTTAGTTATGATAATAAAAATTTAAAGCAATAATAATCTATTTAAAAAATGTTAGTTTTTATCACAAGTAAAATTTACAAATTTATAATTATCAAATTTCAATGATTAATTTGAACGGTTTAGAGATTTTAATTATCATATTTAAATAAGTAATATGAGCAATTGAACTCCAATATTAGTACAGTAATTGAATCAATAATTAGATTCAGAATATTTAACTTTTTTTATAATAATTTCTTCATGGCAGAAATTAAATATTTGTTTTAATAACCGTCTCTTTAATGATATATATCGTTGATTTTTTTTTTCTAATTACTAAGATAGCTCAATTTGACAGCTGAATTTTTGATAAAAAAAAAAAGATAACTGATTAAATAGTTAGAACTTTGATAAGACTAGTAATTTAAAGAAAAAAAAATTTTTTTTTTTCAAGAATTAAACATTAAAATAAATTTTTATTTACATCAAAAATAATAAATATCCATAAACTTATAAAAAAAAATATATTACATACATAACTAAAATTTCAAATATAGAATAAATAAAAATCTAAAAATTTCATGATCAATAATTACAAAAACGTTTTGTAGTACAAACTTTTCTGTCTCCACAAAAGATCAAATCATTAGGGCATATCATTCTAATAGATTCAATTTTTCCCGTGACTTCAGAAGTATAACAAAGATAGTAATACTTTTCCGACTTCCGATCCGGAAATTTCCCAGCTGACTCACACGGTTTGTCAGCAACTTCATCTTTACTGTCAGCATCATTGTCATCATCTTCGTCATAATCATCATCATCATCATCATCTTCTTTAGAACTAACTGTCATCTCCTTTTTAATATCACTTGAACTAAGACTATGATAACGACTTTTTAGACACCGTTTGAATGTCTGCGGGTCACAAATGTTGATTTGGTTATTAAAAGCCGTGTAAGGCGGGCAAGTAAACTCGTGAACTTGTGCATTTGTCAGTTCGCAGGTATAATACTTGGTGCAATCAGTAGCATTAGGCAATCTGAATCCTCGCCGGCAGGGAATAATTCTAATTATTTCAATTTTCAAATTACTAGCGAGTAATTTTTTATATTTATCAACAGTTATGTATTCTTTTTTTCCTAAATTACTTTTTACAAGCAACACATTAGACAATTTATCAATTTCATCAATATTAAAATTTGATTGCAACGTATCAATTTCCGTAATACCATCATCAATTTCTGTATCATTATTTTTTATACCTTCCAATTTATGATCCAGAGTAAAATTTTTCACAAAGTAATCAAATATATCATGATAAGTATATTCATTTTTATTCGACCCAGAATTCCGGGGTAGGAATAAATATTGTTTGACCGAAGGTCCGACGTGCTGGTAAAAAATTATTTTATTCCAATATCCTTTGCTATCGCTTGATTTGTCATTGAAATTATTTTGACCTTTCATCGGTATAAGAATTTGTAAAGTCTCTTTTTTGGTCCCAGTTTCGTTGGTTCGATTAAATGGGTATGGAATTATAACTTGAAGATTACTTAATTTATTGGACGCACTCGATGAAGAAAATTGATAATTCAAATCGCTGCCAGATTCAATTCTGTTGCTAAATTCAGAACTTAGTGAAATGTTGTCATTTGAAATTTCGCTGCCTGATTCACGGTCATCGCAACTCCAGTTCTCACCTGGTTGTACGCAAAGAAGTAGATGAGGTTGAAACACCTGAAATTAAAAGAAAAAAAATTTAGGAAGTAGAAATTATTTGGATTTTTTATTTTTAATTTTAATGTCCAATTTATTAATGTAATTTTAATGATGTAGTTTATGTTAAATATCGGCGAGATGAATCACTTTCTTTCACTTTTTATGGTGCTAAAATCTGCCGTTAACTTCTGTCGGGTCAGGTTACACAACTGGCAAAGTTGAAAACATGGTAATAAAAAGTTATTTCAAGTTCATAATCCGTGATTTTTAACATATTATTGAATTATTAAATAACTTTCATTGAAAAAATAGTTATTTAATAATAAACTAAAATAAATATGAATAGTTTTATTATCATAAAATTTTTTTTCAGAATTTAAGAATTTAAAAAAATTTTTTAACTTATCCGAAAGTTATATCTACTAAATTAAATTTTTAAAGTATTTCAGCTATTTAACAATTTATTATTACTATTTTCAGTGACAGTACTCAAAACTTTATAGCTCGTAAATAAAACTAACTGATAACTTGGTTCATAATATTATTATTAAAAATAACTTCAATAAATAACATGTATTTACAGTTTTGATATTACAATCTATAAATTGTTTAATAACTTCTCAACACCAAATCTAAAGCTTAAATTAATATTTGTCCAAAGTCGAGTAATTATTTATAAATTGTTAACTATTAAATAATCGACTTTTTATACAATACTTTTTAATGTAAAATAATTTTTACTTTCAAATTATTGTAACAGTAAAAATTATGAAAAATTTTATATTTATTTTTTAATTTTTGCAAAGAAATTTTTTTATAAACAACTTAATTAATTATTTTACTACATTATTAATCAATCTAAAATAAAATAATATTTTTAATAAGTTAATTTTTTAAAAATAAAGTTTGCTCTCAGTACATACAAATGATTAATAATTATATAGTTTAATTATTTCTAATTTTAGCTGCAAATAACAATAAAAAAAAGCTATTTTATTCTTAGTATAATATTTTTAGTCAGTTTGGTAGCAGTCGTGTAAAACTTTAATTTAAAAACATATTTTAATTATACTTTTATGTTAAGTGTCAATGTAATTTAATTATTTAATCAATATATTTCTTTCAATATTTATTATTAATAATTGATTGAAATTTCTAACTACTAAAATTAGTAATAGAAAAAAAAACAACAATTTACTTTAAACTACAAAATTACCGTAATTACATTAAACTGAGTTTTAATTGCAGAAGTATCAGTTAAATATATCCAATTATATTAATGATTACATCATTGTTATTAGCTTCATTGTCAAGTTTTAATTAATTTTTTTAATTACAAATAATTTATTCTAAAAGAAACCATTGAAAAATTTTAACATAGTATTATAGTTGAAAAAAAAAAATTGTAATATTAATATGAAATTCTTTAAAAATAAACCAATAAGATAAATGAACTTACAAGGCCATCAGTACATCTAGAAGGTGCCCAGACATATCCACCATTAGGTAAATTGACACAGTCATAAAATTTAATACAACTATTATCATGTGGTTTTCTTTTCTGCGGGCATTTTGAAGCCTCTGTTACCACAATAATGAATGATAATAATAAACAAATATTAAATGCACTGGTCATTTTATTTTAATATCAAAAAAAGGTGTTTAGCAATATATAATATCGGTTACGCACAGTATACTAAATGTCTTTTGACACTGGCAACGACGATGATGACCATGAACGTTTTCATCTTATCTCAAACAAAGTTTCTCCATGTAAATTAACACCTACCATTAAACCGTTAGGTTTCTCGTGTTTCGCGACAATTTATTCTCTCGGTCTTTTAATCTTCGACAGTTAATTGATGCTAATTCATCGGCGACCTGGTTTAATAGTAGGCCAATACACATTGTAAAATAACTCAAATATTTAACGAAAATAAATACTTTTTTTTTCAGCTTGGGGATGGAATTCTGGGCAAAGTAGCCCAACTTCAACAAAAGATTTCAAAAAGTTCGTGGTGATTCGCGTTGCTGGCGATGAAAAAAATGAAGCTGGCCTCAGTAAGTTTTTTAATTCAAGACAACTAAAAAAATTTATTCAATTAACAGCAAAAATAATAATAATAATTTATGTTTTTCTTAGCTCGCTCTCTTGGTAATATTAATATAAATGGAAAAAGACTTGTCTCAGACTCGGGGCATTTGCATAAAAAGGTTTGTTTGTCCGGTGAAGTTAGAATTCCTCATGCAAGAGTTAAAACAAGCAATGGCGACACTGTTACCGAAGAAAAAAAAGTTGAAAAAATAGATTCAAAGCTTTGCTCAAAGTATCCAGAATTATTTGAGCCGCACACTTTTGCTCCGAAAGATTTACTAGCGTTGTTGAAAAATCTTGAGCAGGAAATTAATATATGCGAAACTAGTCTGAAAGATGAAAATGATAAGCGAAATAAATACAAAGTAAGTCGATTAATTTATACCTATATAAGACTTTTATTTTGTGCTTATTTACGTGTGATGTTGTTTTAGATTGATGATTGCAGACGGACACATAATTACGACGAATTTATATGCACATTCTTATCGATGCTAGCTCAACAAGGAAAACTCGCGGAATTGGTTCAACAGCATCTTACATTAAAGAAGCATACATCTGTTACTGTTAATCGTGTACACAGGTAATTTATTTATTTATTCAAATCGTTTATTTAGGAGAGTAGAACTAATAGTTAGTTGGTATTTATACTTCTGTATTTATTTTTAAAATTCCTATAACATGCTCTATAAGTTTATTTTTTTTTTTTTTTTAATTAAACATACATTTTTTAAATATCTAGCCCCTTTTATTTAAAAACAAGCTATTACTCGCCCGCTCCGCTGGGCGCTTTATAGAATTGCATTTTTAGATCTAGACTTGAAATTTAATTAGTCTTGTTTTGACTTGCTCAGATTCCCAATTCTATCGAATTGGCATGCACCATGTATTTATTCTAGCTAATATTAATTGTAACTTTCAATGTGCAATCATTATAACATTCCCGTGTCTTTCTTACAAAAGTCAATAATAATTGATATGAACAAAAAAATTTGTAATGGGCATTGAAAGTTTTAGTTAAAGAAATTGCAGGTCTCATAAGTAAAGAAATCTGCCTAGTATGTAAACATAACTAATAGAATTAAAAAATTTATTTTAAATGACAATTGAGTATAATAAATTTAGTTGCAATAAAAATTTATCATTTCTAAGTCAAAAAAATATAGGTTCCGGATAAGTAATCACCACCATATCATATATTAAAACCTTCTCCACCTTAACTCAAACTTTTATTCAATCTACTGCCGAAATTTGTAGTCAACTTGATGAAAAAAGTTGCAAGCCAAACGTTTTTACTTAAGTTAAGTTGTCTACAAGTTACACTGCAATTTAACGTCAAGACTTGCAGTACAAGTATTTTATTCAAGTTGTACAATTTAACCAAAAGTTCGGTGTTAATTTATATTCAAATTGGGGCTGTAGAATTATTCCGATCGGTTCAGTAGTTTTCGCAGTATAACCGGACAAAAAAACCGACTCTTCATTTATTAGTATAAATTTACTTCAGATTGAGATTTTTTGTTTCTTTTTACTTCAAATTGTAAAATAAGGTAAAAGACCCCAGTTATTGACACTTGCAATTTTATTTTAATTAAAAAAAAAAAAAAAAAACAAATTAACTCTAATAAATTAATAAATATAATTTTTGAATTATAAATTTTAAGAAAATTGGTTTTTTGAGAACATTTAATTTTTTTTTATTAGAATAAAATTGCAAGTGTCAAACAACTAGGCCAGTGTCAATAACTGGGTTTTTACCTTATATGATTGATTAAATAAAAATCAGAGTGGGATTCAATTAATGATATAAATTTATTATATAATTATAAAATTTTTTAATTATTAGCTGAGTAAGGTATCCGTTAATTTATTCTGCAAAACACTTCACTTAAAAATTTAATAAGCCTGATTAAATCCAAAATCAAAATTCGAATAAGAAAAATTACTCAATAAAAATGAGTGTCTGGAAAAGTAAATATTTATCGATTTCATAATATTTATTTTGTGATTATCTTATTTTTTTTTTTTTGTAAAAGTAATTTATTTTTTATTCAGAATTTACATTTTTAACACGGTTTTTCTGATCACTTTTTTGACATTGAAATTTTAATATTACATGACATTGCATCATAATATATTACATCAGACTATGTAATAATTTATCTATAATTTACTATTAAGTTTATTTGACAGGTTGATTCTTGATGTAATTATAAAAAAAAAACAAAAAAAAAAAAAAATAGTAAGTTGTTTATAAATTAAAAAATCTGATGCGTTGTAGAAATTGAAATTTCTATAAATAATGAATAAAATAGCGTTTAAAAAATTTTATGGTCACAATTAAAAACTTTTCCAATAATTCAAGAACATAGTGCGATACAAAATATACAATTTTTAATCATGAAGCGATAAATCAATTATTTTTAAAAAATACTTATGATAGTGTAGTTGTAAACTCTCTTACGTAAATTGAACTGATAAATTTTCTATTAAAAGCATTAATGAAATATTTTGAAAGAACATAAAAATTATAAGCTTGCGGTGGTGTTTTGTTACAAGCATTTAAGTGGTTAAAAATGACCTTGACATTCAATTGGTGATAAAATAATGAATAAAAAATCATTTAATTGTTTCAGGTCTTCAAAGAAAACTGATGCACGACCAAATACATCACGTAGACGGCGCGGTCGTACTAAATGCAAGAAGCGAAAATAAATCAAACGTTCAAATTTTCTTAGAAAATTTTACGTAGGTCGTGAACGTTCCACGTATGACGATAATCAAACCTCCATACATCCGTACTATGTATGATTTATAATTTATAATTATAATTCAAACTGACTATCGGACCCAGTGTTTAAAATTAATCATGCTATCCATAAAATTATGCTAAATTGTTCAAGTGTACATTTTAAACGGCACTAATTGTCCCAACTAAGCAAATTATTTATACTAAAAATTTTTAGTATCTGTACTATTGTTTATTTTTATCTTAATTATTTTTGGGTGTTGTAAAAATTTTGACAAGTACTTTATGTAATATCGTACTAGTAAAAAAAATATTTGTACAATTTTTTCAACTAAAATTTTTAAAACTAATTTTTTTAATCTGTAAAATTATAAAAAAATCAAATTTTTTTAAATTGAATTATAAAATAAATCAATGTGTTTTAAATCATACGTACTCATTAAAAACTAAAACAAATTTATATCAGTTTAATATAAAAAAATCATAAAATTTATTTCCAATTAAACTGCTAAAAATAATTCTATTATTAATTAAAAAAAAATTAATTAATTAAATTTAAAATAAATATTTTACTTCAGATAATATTTAAAAAGTAGAAATTAAATTTCCGGATGTACGTTAAAATTGTAATTATATTATAACTAACTTTAGATAACCGTCTGTAATTTTTTAAAAATTATACTAATGATATTAATACAAAAAGAAATATTATCATACAGAATAATTATTACAATAAAAAAAAAAATCAATCTATAAAAATTAATTAAGTATTTTCTTTATTGCTTTGATGTCAACTATAATTTTATATATATTTTTTTAAAATGACCATAAGTGAAAATTTATCATTTTTCAATTGTTAGAAAATTATTACGAAACATGTTTTTTTGAACTTGAAATATTTTTTATGAGCACATAAAAAAATTTATATTTTCTACATGTTGCTGGGACATTATTGATTAATGGATTAATTGTTAATGGCGAGTCTCACTTCTCCCTTTCCGCTCCTCTGTAAATCATCAATTTCCAGAGATATCGTTTTATTAGTTTCCTTTAAATTTATCAATCACATTTTTTTATTTTAGTTTCTATCATCGTAGTAATTACAGACACTTAAATCACTACTTAAAAAATCATTAAGCTGTTTTTGATATTACTTCATCTATTGATACATACTTTTTAAGAGATATTAATTGACCAGACATGTAATTACTTTAGCCAATTTTTTACAATTAATTAACTATTAATTAACTTTGACTTTACTTTTACTTTATTTATAACTTTTGCTTGTTTTTTTGTAAATTTTTAATATTCAATTTAACACATGATTAATAGATTAATGAAACTATTTGTGCTATAATCAATTAAATTAGAAATTAATTAGAAGAAAAAAAATTATTTTACTTTAAATAAATAAAAATTTTTAATCTTCACTTAGTGCAAAAATAGTTACAAAAAACTTTTGAATTTTTGGAAGATTATTAATCCAACAAGTCAAAAATTAACAATCGTCAACTTAAATGTAAAAAAACATTACCAAAAAATTTTTTGTGCCCCTTGAGTAAGAGAGACGAACAAATATTTTTTAATTTACCCTTCTCAGTCGTTAAAGAAGCTGGAACTCTTCTTTTTTTTTGCTCCAAACATATCGAAGTCAAAAAAAATTACAGAAAGAATTTTTCTTAACTAATTTCCCGATTTATAAGCTCTTCAATAGAATCTTTCGAAGATTTCTGTGAGTAAAGCTGTCAGACCTATTTTTAATTCGTCTATTAGACGTTTAATTATTTTTTATCAATAAAAATGCAATTATTTGATATTAATTATCTTGTTAGGATATTTTTAAAAAAAAAAGGCAAAATTTCAAAGTTAATTACTGATCAAATTGTCTAATTACAGCTTAATTATTTGAATTTTGTTAAATAATAAATTTGTCCTGATAAAAGTTTCAAAGTAACGATAAATTGAAGAAATTAAGCTGACTGCGATAAAATTTATTATTGAAACCCAATAAAGTAAAGCAAAACTCACAGAAATTGCAATTTTTTTTTTTATATCTGTGATTAATCTTCACTCACTATTTTCAACTTTAAAATAGTTAAATTTTAACCATACAACTAAATAAAAGGTAAGCTTAAAAATTTATCGAGTTTAAAAAAATTTTAGCTCGCTAATTAATGACATTGAAATTAGCTGACTCTTGAAAATTTTTTTTTGAAAAATAAACTAGGTCTAGAAAATTATTAAAAAAAAAAATTGCATTTATAAAATTTTAACATTTTTAAATATGAAATTTTTTAAATAAATTTTTCTTGTTATAATTATTTAAAAAAAAAACTCTAGAAATTATTAGACGTCTCTTATTTTAAATGTCATCGTTAATTAATCCAAAGACAAATTAAACATAAAAAACTTTTGAATCACACTTTGGAAAAAAAAGCTTATCGGTTCATGAATAAAAATGTTTACCTATTTTAAATTGTATATTCCTCTTGAAAAAAATGAAAATAATTGTCTCAGCTCCTGCGATCCTCCCGTTCTTTCTCATCTATATTTGATTATAGGTACGCACACAGCCTTACTATTTATTCAATGAAAAAAAAAAAAATTACCTTGCACATCAGAGTAAAAATATAAAAACGTGCGTCATATGCATCATCTATTTTTTATTTTTTATTTAAAAACTCACTCTCTGACGTTATTGATATGCGCATGCAATAAAAAATAATCGCAAGAATATTTTTATGATTTCCAGTATTGAACAATTATTTACACTAACGCGTAATACAGTGACGTTAATTATTATCTTGCTTTTATTTCTAAAAAATTAAGTATTCAAAATTTATTGAATTTTTTTTTCTAATAATAATAATAATAATAATAATAATAATAATAATAATAAAAGGATTGGATAGCAAAAAAGAAATGATTTATCATAAAATATTGCCAAAAAACATTGAAAATATTTATTTCAATATTGATATTATACAATTACATACCACACGCTCAATGTCATAGATCATATAGTCTACAATACTTATATCTCCGTGTATTAAATAGTTATAGTAATAATTAAAAATAATTATTTACAATTATCGAAAAAGATATTTCAATTCAATAAATCAATTGGAAGATTTAATAGGGTAGCAATTTAAAATGTACAATTGAGTTGCATGCTAAATTTATTTTTTTTTTTTTTTTTTCAACGACTAGAGCCTACAAATATATATTCATTGTTATATATAAATTATAATTAACATTATAAGTATATTTGTTGCTATTTATTTGTTTTACATATGAAAGTTTTTACGGATTGTCACTGCATTTTGTGACTGATTGTTTATTACAGGCACTAGTGGTAACATTTTAACTTCTTTTAAAGTGATAGATAGAAATTATTTTTATTTATTATTTATGAGTGATTTTTCGATCGTAAAAGTTCAATTATTTATTTATTATTTTCGATATAACACTGATAAATAATGCTTTAAAAGCTAATAAAGGACATCTTGATTTTTAAAATTACAAAAGCATCAATATTATTATAACGTAATTTTACAATTTTAGCAGTGTATAAAAATAATAATAATATTTATTATTATTATTATTATAATTATAATAACGATAATAGTGATAATTACAATTAAAATTTCACAGCAGTTTAATTGAAATAAATTTAAATTAGTTTTAGGCCACTGGATAGTAAAGAAACTTACTGCGTATTTTCATTTTTGTTCATTATTTTTAATCAATATAATATACACATATATAAATATATTTACAGTTTAAAAACTTTACACTTTTTATCTTTAAAATTTCATTACTGGACTTTTAATTGAATTGATAAAAAAATAATTAATAAGAAACCAATGGTTAAACAGTCTTATGTTGAGCTCTTTTATCAATTATATGTATGTTTTATATATATATATATTTTTTTTTTATAAAATAACAATTAATAATATAAATATATATATATATAT